CATGACGCGCGTCCGTCTGATGGCATTGATATCTATGAGATCGGCTTGCCGAAAAGCTCTCCGATTTTGACGCTTTACCTGGTCCTTCGGGGATCATCAAACCAGCGGAACTAGGATTCGCGAAGCCACCGATGCCGACGTTCGATGCCCCACGCGGTGGCGGAGGATGCGGGGGGGAGGTGGCGGAGGGCGGGCGTGAATACAGGAAGCGAAGGACGAGGATGTAGGAGCTACCTATCTCAAGGCTTGCACTTGAGAAATAGACGCGGGCTTTGGAGGCCTTGGATGCTTGCCGCGGGGCCGGTGACGCTTGGGGCCCTGCTCCACCCCCCTATCCTCCTCATCCTCTTCCTCCTCATCTTCCTCCTCCCATGCTCCTCCTGGCACCTTGGCCCCCGCCCCCGCCCACCTTCTCGCCCCCTTCCTCCTCCCGTGCCCCTCCTCTGATCATTTCGTGACCCCGAGACTCCTTGACGATATCTGAGACGGGCCGCCGGGCGCCCTTCGCCTTCTTGGCATATCTCATCATCCTGGCATGAGACTTCGCCATGGCGGACCCGGGCTGGTTGTTGCGGTGACATTCGCCGCCGCCGCCCACGGGGTCTCCCCCGTCAACAGCGGCGACGGCGTCGACGATGTCTGCAATCATCCCTCGAGCTCGTCGCGCGGCAGCCAGGGAGCAAGGAGGGGCAAGAGAGATGCGCGGGGGCACGTTGAACAAATGATACAGTTGCCACCTGGATAGGAACGCGCGGAGTTTCTGGAGCTTCATTCGCCGATCATTGCGAGGCTTGCACTGCGATCAAAGCCATATTCAGGCGGTAAACCTTCGGTGCCCGCCTTGTCGCCTTCGATCGTACCCCCCTGGGTGTATAGTTTCCTTTCCTGCCGCGCGCATGCTATGCAGCCCCTGAGGGCCAGCCCTTTGCCGACGCCCATCGGGGCCCTCGGCATCAACCCGCAGTTTGACGGCAGCGGGGCGATCGATGTCCAAGACTCCCAGGCGTTCTAAAGCTAGCTTGTTCTGTGTTATTCCCAGCCTCCGCAGTGCGTGCAAGGCAAAAAGAGGTCTGGTCGCGTGGGGGACTGATGCTGACTGACTGACTGACTGACTGACTGACTGATTGAATGACTGAGTGACCTGCAATGGAAGTGCGACGCTGCCACGACGTCGAGTTACGAAACAAACGCAACCGAGAAGTCTGATCCAAAATGGGTTGTGCACCTACTTATCACTTGGCGATGTGGTACCACTGGGCCCTCTCATTGTCGCGAAGGCTCTAGAAGGCCAAACGATCGGAAGCCCAGACACGCGCAGCAGAAATTAAGTCTTCGTTTCGCCCCACAAGAGATTCGAAGAGGTGCTAACACATTGGCCCTAGACTGTCCCCAGACGGGCAAAGGGCGCCTTGAGCTGTACCTCGCGAAGGATCCAAACATGTGTGCAATTGTGAATGCCATCGTCCTGTAGTCGTTATCATGTTGTCCTCCCATTTTTTGGTTTCCAAGCGCACTGAAAGGCCAGCAAACCGTTGCCAGAGTGAGGAATTCGCTGGGAGACCCCCAATCTTTTGACACAAAATGATGAGGGGTCTCCCATTGTTTCTTGGTGTCTCATAGCGACACGAAACAACCGACGCGCATCCAGAGCGAGCGAATGCCGCAAACCATACGACGCCGTCAACAATTTCGGCCCCGCGCGCATCTTGGGACAAAGCAAGTCCCGACAAACTACCGCCCAAGACCGCTCGAAAGGTGAATTCGGTTACGTCGGCCTCTAAGGACCCATTGGAACTTATACTGGGGCACGCGACACAATTCGGGAACCTAGAAGGACGCCCGACGCCCACAACGTAGAGCCCCGCTGGGCCCTCTGACCCCTGAGACCATTTCACAAAATTAACCTTTCTGGGCCGAAAGCGAAATCCAAAACAATACGCACACCGTAAATCATGTGCATTCGCAATACGAAACAAACCGCGTACACACGACAATTTGTATAAAGCCCGTCCCGGATTACCCCGGGGGAAATCCGGGACGGGAGGGGGTGAGATATCATTCTATATATACACAGTATTGGTTGTGATGACCAAAGTGTATTCTATTTATCAGAATTTTTATTATATATTTGATACATGCAAGAATGTAAGATCTAATACATAGTGCTGGTTCTATGTACTAGACTGCATCAAATATACCATAATCTGCTTTCATGCACTTTAAACGCACAGTCATTGATATGCTATATTTATATGTTTATATTTATGATGTATGTATATATATATGAATATGTATATTTGTATGAAATATGTATACACATGTATGTTTATTTGTAATAGAATAATATATTACAAGTATTGTATACATACTATATATATGTAACTATGATGGTTTTTATATATATATTATATGCACATACATTATATATTTATATCAACATATACATGTATAATATATATATATACACATATATATATTATCCATATATATGTATATATATATATTAATATATTAATATGGTAATATCTATACATAAATATATATTAATCATGATATGGTACATCTAAAAGAACGCATCTAAAAGGACACATGATAATATAGCCGTGCGTTGCTCTGGGGCATATCAAAATGGCAGGATCTAAAAGGACCTTGACCGACCGCGGCCACAAGAGGCAGGCCTCTTTAAAGCTCTGGATCCTCATAAGTAGTAGTAGTAGTAGTAGTAGTAGTAGTAGTAGTAGTAGTAGTAGTAGTAGTAGTAGTAGTAATAGTCGTAGTAGTAGTCGTAGTCGTAGTCGTAGTCGTAGTAGTAGTAGTAGTAGTAGTAGTAGTAGTAGTAGTAGTAGTAGTCGTAGTCGTAGTAGTAGTAGTAGTAGTAGTAGTAGTAGTAGTAGTAATAGTCGTAGTAGTGGTAGTAGTAGTAGTAGTAGTAGTAGTAGTTCAAGCAGAGCGTGGCTTAGCAGTGCGTAGCAAGGCTTAGCAGACTCAGACTGCTCAGACTCACTCACACTCAGAATCCGTGCGTGCCCGCTCCTCGGGCTCTCTCGTATTTCTGGGTCCGCCGGTGCTAAGATAACGCGGGGGTGCGGGGCGGGGGATACCCTGGGGTGGCCCCCCGGAGGATGCAGAAGGAATCGCATGGGAAGAGGAGGAGGAGGAGGGGGAGGAGGAGGAGGAGGAGGAGCTGGGAAACAATCAGAAAACACAGGAAAAGCATAATTGTGCCTGAGTTGTGGGTCAGGGACTTGAGAAGTGCCTGGGTTGTGTGTCAGACACTGGAACAGTGCCTGGGTTGTGGGTCAGAGACTGGAGCAGTGCCTGGGTTGTGACTGAATCCTTCTGCTCAGACTCACTCACAGTCAGACTCATTGTGCTCAGACTCACTCACATTCAAAATTCGTGATCCTTCTTGGCATTGTGGTACTATTCATTAGTATGAGCATTATTATTCTGATCACTCTTGCTTGGTTTATCATTCGTATTGTGATACTCGTGCTCAGACTCAGGTCTGAGCAGGGCTTAGCAAGGCTTAGCAGGGCGTAGCAAGGCTAAACCTCGGACCGCGCTCCGGCCTACGCCTAGCAGGGCTTGGCAACGCTCAGCAGGGCTTAGCAGGGCCTCGCAGAGCATAGCAGGGCCTAGCAAGGCCAAGCAGGGCTGAGCAGGGCTTGGCAGGGCTTTGCACGGCTTAGCAGGGCTTAGCAAGCGCTAACAAGACTTAGCAGGACCTAGCAGGGCTTAGCAGGGCTTAGCCTCGGACCTCGCTTGGACCAGGGCCGCAGGGCTTCGCAGGGCTTAACCGGACTTAGCCTCGGACCTCGCTTGGACCAGGGCCGCAGGGCTTTGCAGCGCTTAACCGGGCAGGCCATAGCAGGGCGTAGCAGCGCTGAGCAGTGCTGAGCAGGGCCTGCCTAGCAGGGCTGATCTAGCAGGGCTTAGCAGGGCCCTGTACAGGGCGTAGCAGGGCTTAGCAGGGCTTGGCAGGGCTTCGCAAGGCCCATCGGCCCGCAGGGCTTAGCAGGGCTTAGCAGGACCTACCAGGGATAGAGGTCCACAGAGATCTGGGCTAGATCCTTGACATTCGTTGCGACACCCTCTCTTGGCCTCATTGGGGCGGCCACCGATGGATTTTGTTTTCTGTTTGCGGCGGGTGCTAAGTTTATCGTTCTGCGAAAACTGCCCGCCTGGAATATTGAAAAACCGGGTGCTAAGAATAACCTAGGGGGGTTTCTTAATAACTGGATAGGGTTATCCCTATCCCTATGCTGGGCACCTCCTCATCACGATGCCAATCTTAGGGATTCCCTCAGTTTTTCAAGGCGAATCCATGAGATTGTCATCGCTTGTTTTTCAGAGAGACAGTGTTCGCCGCCTGTGGACGCCAAATACGAAGCACAACAATAAGCGCTGCACAACGGGTTTGCCGCCTGTGGGCGCCAGCTGCGGTTGTTGCAGTAAGCACTGCACTAACTTACGTAAGTGAAGAAGGTTGCGGAGAGCCCAGCTCTCTATAATGAAACAAAACATGCTGGTAAAGAATAACGAGGACTCAAAGTGACGAGGTAGCGGCAGCGTAGTGGCCGCCATGCATGTTGCTGCGTTGTCTGCTCCAAATGTCGCTCCACGGATTGATCATCGCTACTGCTTGGGGTACAGTTGAACCTAATTAGTTGAAATTATTCAGTACACGCAATGCCGAAGCAATGCTTCGAACTCACAGGGCGTAGAATCGCGTAGAACGCAAATGCGCTCATACATTTGCAGAAGAAATGTAAGAAACCATGGGGGCACGCTCGTGTCCACTCTGAAGAAGAAATGGTCAACTTCTGACTTGGCAGTGGGTTCCGTGAGATATGGCTCCCAAACTCAGAATGACCCAGTAGACATCTGGAACGCAATTCTTGGAGAGGGAAGGCTACTGGCATTGGCCGAATCAAAACTGGAATCCCCAAGCTTGCCGTCTCCAGACGCCTGGTTGAAATATGCGCGTGACCCCGATGTCACAAAGAGACTTTCGTGTTCTCGAACGCGAGGCCGTCGTCGCAGGAGTCGCCAGGGTCGTGGTCATCCATGCGCCGAAGCCTCGGCGACGGCGCTGGGGCTGGAGGTCTCTCTGGCGAAGCCGACTCGGTCCGCGGGGAGTGCTGAGCGGGTGGCAGCGACGATGGCATCCCGCTCAGAGCACGCGCGACCGGCAAAGCCATGGTGTTGTTGAGCTCCATCATCGCAGACCATTTCTTGGTTATCTGCCGCTGCTTCCGCCGAATTGCGGACTTGGACTTGTGGCTGTCGCCGGCCGCATGATTCTCGCGCGACTCGCTGGGCATGAACTCGGGGATATTGGCGATGCGCTCGTTGAAGGACGGAAGCTCATCGCGGGACGAGGCGGCCCCAGCGGACCAAGCACGGGGGGGCTCGGCTGCAGGCCGGGTGCCCGGCAGCCCGGCTGGCTGGACGGCCCACAGGCCCTCGGACATGTCCGCCCAGCTGCGACTGCCCGAGCTCGACGTCCAGTTGTCCTCGCCGCTGCTGTCGCCCTCGCTGTTGTCTGGCTTAGCTGGGTGCGCTGGCGCGGCGCCCGTCGTCAGGTGCACGGCGTGCAGCATCGGGCACTCCCTGCCTCTCAGGCAGCACCCGCGCTGGTATGGCCTGCAATAGTTCGCGTCAAGCCTGGCCATGCTACCTCTGCCGCACGGCGAGGCGCGGGCCTACGAGCCCGGCATGCCGTCCCGGGCGGTGCTCGGGGAAGAGGCCCCGCGTGCCCAGAGAAGGGACCCTGAATCCGCATGGGCTCTGGAGCTGGAACGGCCCTTGAGCCAAATGGACGGAAAGATTGTCATCGCCTTTGGGTGTGTCAATCTTAGGGATAGGGATACGTTCGAGGCCCGACAGAGGTTTCCCAAACGGCCCCGAAACGACCCACAAAGACGGCCCTAGAGGCCTCCCAGCCGGCCCAAGAGGCCCCCTGAACGGCTCCAGGAGGGTGCTCGCACGCGAGCCCGGACGAACATCTCGAGCCCTCGGCGCCGAGAAGCTCCCACGAGGCCCCAAGTGCCCCCAAGAGACTCCCAGAAAGCTCGAAGGCCAGGGGCACTTCTGGCTTTGAGTCGGGCATGTCCTCCTAGAGGTGGAGTTTGGAATAAACTTTCAAGAAGGCAAGAAGCATCAAACATAGTCCAAAGAGCATGTGCACAAATCGTCACCAGACAAATTGTTTATGATCCTTGACAAGTCCTCCTGTGGAGGGACATGCCCGCCTCAAAGTCCTAGCAACGCTCGAAGGTGGTGGGCGTTTTCTTCTTCGGCGTTTCGGCATTAGGCGGAAAGGGGAGTGAGGAGGGGGTCTGGCTCCGGACCTCTGCTTACTGCGGCTGTTTGGAACCGTGCGTCGTCTGGGGGAGACTCCACCTGCTCGAAACAGACGCCCAACACAGCCAAGATCTACTCCATGGAAAGGGGAGGGGAGGGGGGTGCGAAGGCCCGCGCCGATCGGCAAATTACACCAGAGAAAAAAACCCAATCAATGGATGGTTTGATCGATGAAGAGATCGACTGGGAACCCGGGAGCCCGGAACCCACCGAAACCGGCCCGGAGCCAATAACCAAGAACCCGCGGGAGCCCAGAACCCTCCGAAATCGGACCAGAGCCAACAACCAAAAACCCGGGAACCCGGAACCCGGAACTTGGCAACCCAGCCGGCCACCAAAATCGGCGGGAAACTTTCGCCGATGAGTTCAAAAACGCGGCTTGGGGAACAACAAGTAAAAAAAACGACAACCATGAGGGTGGAACCCTCCGCTTCTCCCCGGACTGGTACCGCTACTCCATGTTTTCCTCCTCCGACCAGCGCCCGAGGGTGGAGCCCTCTGCTCGCCCGCGGGGCCCCCGCCCCTGCGGGCAAGCGTGCGGGCTCCGCGCGGGCACACCGGCGGCCAGGGCTGCGGGGCGGCTCGCAAGGCGCGAGCCGCGGGTCGGCGGCGCGGGCGCGGGCGCGAGCGGGCCGCGCGAGGCGCCGCGGATGATCAACCCAAAATTCTGTGGTTAATCAAGAGGGCTACTCCAACTCCATATTAATCGGCCCCCCTAGAACCGGACCCCCCTCCAAATGAGACCAATATTCCGGGAGAGCGCGTTTCACTGAAAGGGGCCCTGGGACACACAAATAAATACACACAAATAAAAAAGATTCCCGGCGCGTTTCGAACCGGGGGGTGGGCCCCCCCCCCCGACTCTCGGCGCCGTCGATCAAAACCAAAGGAACCCCCTCCCCCCCCCCCCCTCCCGACACCCCTCCCGACACCCCTCCCTCCCCCCCCCCTCGGGGGGGGGGTTCTACCCCCCCCCTTTCGGCGCTGGCGCTGGCGGGCGCCGGCGCTGGCGGCCGCCAGCAGCGCCGACGGTGGGGACGCAGCGACGATGACCAGAGGCAGCCCAAGGGGGGCGGGTTCAACCTCGCTCCCCCTAGCGCAGGCGCCGGCGCTGGCGGCTGCAGCAACGCCGACGCTGGCGCCTGCGACGGCGGGGTCGCAGCGACGATTGCCACCACTACCACCACCACCGCCACCACTACCACCACCACCACCACCTCAACCCACCACAGCCACCAACAACCAAGCACACAACCACCACCACCACCACAGCCATTACCGCCACCACAAACATTACTATCACAACTCACCACCACCTCCACTACCACCCTAAAGACCCAACATCACTACCACCACCACCGCCACCACCACAATCTACCACACCACCACCACCACCGCCACAACCACCACCACCACTACCAGCAGCACGACCCACCACAACCACCACCACAAACCACCACCACACCACCACCACCACAACCAAACAACCACCACCGCCAGCACCACCTCCACAAACCGCCGCCGCCACCACAACTCACCACCACCACCACCACACCACCACCACACCACCACCACACCACAACCACCACCACAACCCATCACCACCACCACAACCACCACCACCACAACCACCACCACCACCACAACAAACCACCACCACTTCACCACCAAACCACCACCACCACCATAACCACCACCGCCAGCACCACCACCACCACCACCCACCACCCACCACCACTACCACCGCTACAACATACCACCACGCCACCATCACCACAACCACCACCACCGCCACCACCACCACCACCACAACCCACCACCACCACCACCACCACCACCACCACCACCACCACCACCACCACAGTCGTCCTCGTCGACGCTCCCCGCCGCCGCCGCCCGCCGCCGCAGGCGCTGGCACCGGCCCAGAAAAGGAAATCGTCGTCCCCGCCGCCGCCGCCAGCCGCCGCCGACGCAGGCGCCGGCCCGAGGAGAGAGGAGAGGAAAGGAAGGGGGGGGCTTCGAACCCCCCGCCCCCACTCCATCCAGGGGGGGGGGGTCCAGTTCCCCCCCCCTCCCAGCGACCACAGAACGCGCTTTTTCAATATTCCTGACCCCCCGCTTCGACGGGGCGCCTTAATGAACCAACCAGGCCCCGTAAACACCAGTCCAGAGAAAACGCCCTATTAAACCGGACCCCCCCAATTACAAACAAAAGCCTTGAAAAACCGGATATGGGGGACGATTGATCAGGGATTTGGAATCAAGGTTATCAAGCCCACATTATTTTCCGCCCTCTCCCAAAAACGTTTAGGGATTCTTTTCAAGAGCCCGAACACTTTGGGAGGGGACTTGAGTTAGGCTAGCGGGTCGCGCGGCGTCGCAGAAGGCGCCTCTGACGATTAACCAAAACATCGGCGTGGCGAGCGCGGGGTGGAGATGACAAGGAGAAGGCCTTCTCAGAAGGCGGCGGGACTTCTCAGAAACCCTCGAACCCTCTGAGACTTGTTTGTTTTGGTTTTCGGGGGAGGCTTGGAAAACTTTCAGAAGTCCGGGGGACTTCCGGACCTTTTGGAGGAAAAAAAAACTGTTTCCTTCTCGCTTTCCCCCATCGCTCGCCGCCGAAAAAGAATCCGTACCCTTTTGGGAGGGGACCCAACTTGGGAACGCCAAGCACCTGAGGGATAGGGGGTCTTTCTTTTTTGCAAATGCACCAGAGCCTGATAACACGATGAAGACGGGGACCTCAGTGAGGCCACGTGTTCATCGTCGCGGTATTGGAATTACGTCGGCAAGTCCTGATACAAGCGGATTTTGAACGAAAACTAAAGACAGTCAAACAATGTCCCAAAATGGCCCAGCAACAATAACACAATCGTCTTCCGATTAGTTGTTGTCTATTTTGGAATAGTCCTCCTGTAGAGGGACGCGCACGACCTTATATTAGGGTTAGGGGTTCATTCGTGATCGATGATATGACCAGGGCGCCGAGGCGACCGCAGCCGCGGCGACGAGGGGCCCAAAAATAGGCAAGACGACGCGAGGACGAGAACGAGATCGGGTGAGGACAAGTCCCAGGTCGTACTGGATGCAAAAATCAAACATACTAAACCCACACGAAGAAAACAATCCATTAACCTGGCGAAGGAGCCAACCATATGCAGTGAGTGCCGCAATTGCGAATATCCTCGCGCGTTCCCTGTGGGGCCAAAGACCGCATGAGGGGTGCGCCGATTGCGTGGCGGGGTGCACAACACGAACGAAGACGATAGGTCTCACTACGAGAGATTGAACGCGGGTGAAATTGAGCGTGAGTCTGAGCGTGACGGACTCTGCGCGCGAGTGAATACATTGGCATGAATGCGAGCATGGCCGCGCCTGGTGTGTCTATATATATATATATATATGTATGTATGTACGTGTGTATATATATAGGTGTATATGTGAATGGTTCACGTATGCCTGACCCTGAGGATTCGTGGCACTGAGCGAGGCCGCCGCAGGAAGCTTCCCCTGGAACCCCGACAGCAGCGCCCGCACGCTGCGACGCCCATGTCGGCACGCTCCTCACGCGGATCGCGCCCGCTTCCTTCCCGCGTTTTTTCTCCCTCTTTGCCCGTGAGCGCAGATGTCCAAGTCTGCGGGCGCGGCGCCGCACGGTGCCCCCGCGACGCGCGTTGGTCGCCCCGGAAGGGTCCCGGCGACGCGCGCGGGTCGTCCGCTGCGCGGAGCAGAGAGAGCTAGCTGGCCGGCTGATAGCGGGCGAGGCTGTGGCCGCAGAGCTGAGCGACGACGGGGGTGAGCGAGGCTCTGGGCAGAGCGCGGCGCGGAATTCCCGCGACGCGCGCTGGTCGCCCCGAGAGGGTCCCAGCGACGCGCGCGGGTCGCCCGCGGCGCGAGGCCAAACAGTCAGACCATCGAGAGACGGCGAGGCTCGGGCGGGCCGCTCCTCAGGTCAAGTCTCGCGGATAAGCTCGGTGAAGCTCAGCTCCCTGGCGAGGGCCGCCGCCTCCCTCCTGCACTGTTTCGTGCGCGTGGCAAACTGCTCCAACTGCTTCCGCAAGCCCTCCGGCGGCCCTGCCAAGAAAAACTCGATGCAAACTGCGCCACTGGGACCTTAGGAGGAGCTCCCTGTGGTCACGAAGCGTGTGGGGGGGTTGCCAAAATGGGGCGGCGGGCGGCGGCGCCATGCGAGCTGCGCCAGTGAGGCCGTAGGTGGAGCTTCCTGTGGGGCCACGAAATGTGAAGGGTGTCCGGACATGGGGCGGCGGCGCCATACGAGCTGCGCCGCTGGGGTCTTAGGTCGAGCTCGCTATGGGGCCACGAGACGTGTGGAGGTGTGCCAAAATGGGGCGGCAGCGCCATGCGAGTTGCGCCACTGAGACCTTAGGTGGAGCCCCCTGTGGGGCCACGAAACGTGTGAGGGGTGTGCCAAAATGGGGCGGCGGCGCCATGCGAGCTGCGCCACTGGGGCCTTAGGTGGAGCTCCCTATGGGGCCACGGAACGTGTGAGGGGTGTGCCAAGATGGGGCGGCGGCGCCATGCGAGCGGCGCCACTGGGACCGTAGGTGGAGCTCCCTATGGGGCCACGGAACGTGTAAGGCGTGTGCCAAAATGGGGCGGCGGCGCCACGCGAGCCGAGCCACCTGGACCTTGGGAGGAGCTCCCTATAGGCCACGCAACGTGAGAGGGTTGTGCCAAAAATGGGGCGGCGGGCGCCATACGAGCTGCGCCAGTGGGACCTTCGATGGAACTCCCTATTGGGCCACGAAGCGTGGGGGTGCCAAAATGGGGCGGCGGCGCCACGCGAGCCGCGCCACCGGGACCTTACGAGGAGCTCCCCATGGGCCACAAAACCTGTGAGGGGTGTGCCAAAATGGGGCGGCGGCGCCATACGAGCTGCGCCACTGGGACCTTAGGTGGAACCCCCTATGGGGCCACGAAACGTGTGAGGGGTGTGCCAAAATGGGGCGGCGGCGCCACGCGAGCTGCGCCACTGGGGCCTGAGGTGGAGATCCCTATACGGCCACGCAACGTGCGAGGGGTGTGTTGAAACAAAAACATTATGAAGGCAGGGGCAAGGCCTGGTAGAAGGGAGGGGGAGGAGCGAGGAGGAGGAGGAGGAGGAGGAGGAGGCGGGAGGGAGGGAGGGAGGGAGGGAGGGACCCGGGGCGCTCTCTCTTCAAAACGAGGACCCAACCACATGATGGTTGGGAAATAACCCGAGGAAACCTTTACTTTAAGAACCTTCCCAGGTTATCGTTAGCACCGCACCAGGATTTAATATTTCCAGGGGACTGTTTGCGCAGAGCGATACCTTTAGCACCTCGCACACATCAAAACATACATTCAGTGGAGCGTCGAACAGGGCTTAGCAAGGCTCAGCAGGGGAAAGCAGGGCTTAGCAGCGCTCAGCAGCGCTCAGCAGGGCTAGCAAGGCTTGGCATGGGCTTAGCAGGGCTCAGCAGGGGGCGACCCAGGTTTAGCATTGCTTAGCAGGGCTTAGCGGGAGCTAGCAGGGCTCAGCAAGGCTCAGCTTGGCCCCGAGTGCTCTCTGCGGGCTCCTCCGGTGCCGAGGTAACGCTTCCAGGGTGCCGGATGCGTTACACTTTCGCCGGATGAGGGGTGTGGGGGGGGTTCTTAAGTGCTTCCTGGGGTTAATAATAGAAACATCGTCCCCATACTATTTTTTGTGTTTACTATTTTTTGAGTACTCCCCCTGTAGAGGAACAGGCCCGACTTAAGACAAGTCGAGAATCTCTGAGGTCCGGCGGCTCAGGAGGGCGTATCGGGCGCCGCGGCCTTCCCAGAGCGTTGCGGAGCGCTCTGGGGGCCTTCCAGAACGCTCTGCAGCTGATTCCTCCCCGTCCTGGCCCCGTCTGACGAGATCTGTCGCCTCCCCTCCCCTCCCGGGCCTCCGGGCCGACCTCCGCGTGCGAGCGCGGCGCCGCGGCTGCGGACGTCCGAGGGAGAGAGGCGGCATGGGCATGCGCCTCCGAAGGACCGCGGGGGGGTTGCTTCGATCGGCGGTGGGCCGCCCTCCCTCGCGCGCGGAGCGCGCCCATGCCTCGGCGGTGGGCCGCCCAAAGTCCAAGAAATCCGCCGAAGCCCTCGACAACCGTACTCCAGATTTCGTAATAAAAGGGGGGGGGTCTGGACCCTCCAAGACAAGCCATTTCAGACCCCCCCCCCGTGGGAGAGCCCTCCAAAACATCGTCCCCAGACCCCCCAGGCCCTCCAAGATAGCCTGGAAGAGACACCCCCCGAAATGAGACCCCCCTCCCTTTATTACGAAATCTGGAGTATGTTCATGCCGCTTTTTGGGGGCAGCGAGGGGGAGGAGGCCAAGGGCATCGGAGCGCTGAGCAAACGAGAGAGCGCCGCGGCAAGGCTGCTTGCACGGTCGCCCGTGCTCTCGACTCCTCCTCCCGCCTCCTCCACCCCTCCAGGGTCCTCAATCCTGCCCAGTCCTCCGTGCGAGAACAACGACAACCCCCTCCTCTCTCTCCCCCCTCCTCCCCCTCCCCCCTCCGCCATCCTCGTTGCTCCTTTTTGTTCCTCGTCCCCCTCCCCCCTCCACCTGTGCGGCACTCCACTCCCCGTCCGCCCTTCTCCCTCCGCCCCTGCGAGGACGAGGATGACAAGGTGGACGAAAAGGAGGAGATCACGGTGAAGAAGATTGGCGAGAAGGAAACGGCTCCTGAGGGAAGCGGGCACTGGATGTCCCCCAGGGGCCACCTCGCCATCCCGAACCGCTCCGTTGGACGGCCCTGAAAGCCTGGGGAGGGCCTCGAGGCGCCCGGGCAAGGGCGCGACATCATTGCCTCGGGGACCGTTTCCGTCAGGGCCCGCGTGCTCCATGGCAACGTCGCAGGCCTGGAGATTGACACCAACACCAATATCGGCGGTGTGCATCCACCGAGGGAGGAAGATCCCGATCTCGGCGATGGTGGTAATATTCTGGCTTCCAAGGTGGCCGAAATATTGCCACCAACACCGAAATGTGTTGGTGTTGGTGGCCATTTCTAGGCCTCCAACAACGGGAGAGCGACGACGATGGCGGCGGCGGCCACGACGACGAGCGGCCGCGGGGAAGGCCTGCAGGCGCGGGGATGTCATGCAGGGCGGCTCGAGGGTGAGGAACGAGCGCCCGTCGTCGAGGACTGTGGCGGGCCCGCGCGAGCCGACGGACGAAGAAGAACGTAAGGCAAGCAGGATGCAGGAAGGACATGCTGGTGCTACGCGCCCTCCTTGCTGGCGCACGCACACACAGAAGGTGTGGCACAAACCGGGCGGTGCGGCCAGAAAGCGACCCCGCCACCGAGCGCATCCTGTGACCATGACCCGCCACACCCCGCCTGCCGGGGGGTGAGAAGGCGTGCGAGACGACTGGCTGTTCACCCCCCCTTCGCCCCCTCCCAGGGGCCCAACATCGACTTTCAGGTTTTGTCGGGCGTGTCCCACTACAGCGGGATTTTCGATACAAAATAAAAACCCTCAAATACTCAAAAATACCCCTCAAATACCCTCCAAAAAGGCAACAAAAATATTCAAAACATAATCCCCACACTATTTTTGGATTATCTTTTGATTATTTTTGGAGTATTTTTGATTTTTCGTCGCAAGTCTCCCTGTAGGGGGACAGGCCCGACTTAACCCTCCCCCCCCCCCCCAGGGGCCCAACATCGACTTTACGGGGGGGGAGGGGCTGGGGGCGGGGGGGTCCGGGCCCTACGGCGCGCCCACGGAGACTCCGGAGCTTCCAACCTCTGCCCCGTCGTGGCCTCGAGGACGGTCCCAGACGGCCCCGGATCCTGGAGCGGTTGGCCCAAAGACGCCTGCAGTCAACCAGCGTTTGGCCAAAAGACGCCCAAAGACGTCTGCCCCGTCGTGGCCTCGAGGACGATGCCAGACGGCCCCGAGGCCTGGAGCGGTTGGCCCAAGACGCCTGCAGTCAACCAGCATAGCAAGGGTGCGCGATGCGGATGCAAGGGCCCTGGACGCCCATCTCGAAGCTCTGCGAGCGGGGGGCGCGGCCAGCGAAAGCGGCGAAGGATGGACCGAGGAGGCAAGGGTGCCAGGGTACCCTTGGGAAGGCTCCCCATCCTTACTACACGGCTCGAGCCAACCTGTTCCTTTCTTCTGGGATTCGAACACCGATCGTGCTCGTGCCGATGCTCTCCCGATGCGCCGTGGCGTGGCGCCTGGCTCGGCTTGACTCGAGGGCCCCGCGAGGACCACAAGGTACCGAGAGCTGCCGAGCACCTCCCGTCCGGTGCCTTGGGGACGCGATGGGGGCCTGCGTCCCTCCTCGCCGTCGTCTGCCCTCCCCCCGAGGGCGGGTCCGCGGGGGACTCGCCGCGCCCAGAGAGGCGGCGACGGCGCGACCGCTCCGTCACCGGATTCTGGCCTCCTGCCGGTGCCTTCCTCCCTTCCTTCCTCGCCGCCTTCTCCGCCCGTCCCCCTCCTCCGCCGCCCCCTCCTCCTCTCCTCCTCCTCCTCCTCCTCCTCCTCCTCCTCCTCCTCCTCCTCCTCCTCCTCCTCCCCCTCCCCGTCCTCCCCGTCCTCCCCGTCCTCCCCCTCCTCCTCCTCCTCCTGGTCCTGGTCCTGGTCCTGGTCCTGGTCCTGGTCCTGGTCCTGGTCCTGGTCCTCGTCCTCCTCGTCCTCTTCCTCCTCCTTCTGTTCCTCCCCCCCCGACGACAACTAAAGGGCGGCGGGGGCTCCCGTCTGCACCAGGTGCGGCGAGCCCGCCGCCGAGGCGCAGAGCACCCGCGTGCAGCCGTGCTTCAGGGTGGAGAGGGTGGCGGCCTGGCCCGCATCCTGGCCACGGGCAGGGTCGATGGGTCATGTTTCCACCACCACAGCCACATCTAGGAAAGGGAGAGGAGGAGGAGGAGGAGGAGGAAGAAAAGGAGGAGGATGAAGAGGAGGACGAGGAGGAAGAGGAAGAGGAGGAGGAGGAGGAGGAGGATGAGGAGGAGGAAAAGGAGAAGGAGGAGGAGGACAAGGAGAAGGAGGAGGAAGATGAGGTGGGGTGGAACAAGGGCCCATCAAAACGTCATTCGGCATCAGATCGGGATCTCTGAAACAGAGAAGGGGCGGCACCATTGCCATCGAGAGGAGCTGAAAGAACAACACCACCAATCGAGCACCCGCGTGCTGCCGTTTCTTGAGGGTGGACACGGTGGCGGCCTGGTCCGTGTCCTAGCACGGGCAGGGTCACAGGAACAAAGGAAACGACACGACCACCACCAGCACGAGGAGCTTGGGGATCGAAACAAACCCGTTGAAAGTTTTGGTCGCCCCAATGGCGCCCAATAGCGCGCCCTTGCGGCGCTATTGGAACGCTATTCGGCGCGCCTGGGCGCTCTTGGGCGCTATTCGGCGCTATTGAACGCTTGTCGCGGATACGCGCCACCGTGTCTGCACCACGTAGTGGAGTGTCCCAAGGCTCATGCAGCCCTGAAGCATTCAGGATTGGAAAGTTTGAACGCGGGGCCCCAACATATACGCCATCGCCAGGTGGCTATAGGAAGGGAACAAAACGTGCGCGCGACCGCCTTGACAGGGGTCCCACTGCCTGCCCCCACCAAGCGCAAGTCAGAGTGAGGGTGCCGAACGGTCATTGTCCCTGGGTGCGTGGCTGAATAAGGGACTCATGGTGAGAATTCTGTTTGTCGCGTTGTTGATGATGCTGTTGTTGTTGGTGGTGTTGTTGTTGTTGATGTTGTTGTTGTTGTTGCAATTGTTCTTGTTGTCGTAATTGGTGTTGTTATTGTTGTGGTTATTGTTGTTGTTGTTCTTTGTTGTCGTCGTCCCACCCGACCCACCCCGCGACCCACCCGCGACCCAGCCCGCGACCCACCCCGTGACACACCCACGACCCACCCCGCGACACACCCACGACCCACTCCACGACCCTCCCGCGACCCACCCGCGGCCACCCCGTGCACCCGCGACCCACCCCGCGACCCACCCCACGACCCATCCGCGACCCATCCGCGACCCATCCGCGACCCACCCCGCGACCCACCCGCGACCCTCCGCGAGCCACCCTCAAGGAAGGAAAAACCACTGGACCTGACAAATGACGTTTGACGTTTACTGAAAAGGCCATGGGCGTTGACTCGACAGCCCTGCCCTGTTCGATTCATTCCTTGTGCGCGTTTCCTAGCGACCCACCCGCGACCCGTTTGCGACCCACCCGCGAGCTACCCACATTGGTTTAACGAAAAAATATGCGACTGCTTTTGTGAAACTTTGGCGCCTGCGGCGGGCTTCTCCAGAGTCTCGCAAACTGCCGACGTCCCCACCGTCCCCTCATTCTTATCCGCATCTGCGCGGTGCTACGTATTTGCCACGTGGTCATGCGCGCAAACTGCGGCCGCATTCGGTTGCGAATAATTGCTCCCAAGCACCCTATGGCAGCACGGTGGTGGTGTATAAAAACGATGGACCCCCCGGGAATGTTATACACCACCCCGAAATATGCACCACGTGAATGTGCTGTTTTGTTTTTTGGGGGGGCATGCAACCACGTTCCCAAATGACGCTGCACACGCGACATGTCATCACCGCAAGATTTGACGCACCCTGCAATCCATCGTCGAAACAATAATCCCATCAATAACGATGACAGAAAACCAACCCACGGTGGTGAGGTATATGCGTGAGTCCCGGATTGAACAGGTTAAGGGCCAGGGCCATCGGTTTCAGAAGGATTCCGGGGGATTTCCAGGCATTCCCCAGGATTCCCTGGCATTTCTGGGGATTCCCTGGCCATCGCTCGGACGTCCATTCCCCGTGTTTTTTTTTGGTTTCGTGCGTGTTTTTTTTCTCGCGAAATGATCATCGGGGATGGACAGACCCCCCTTTAGTAAAACGTGGTTTAGTGAAAACTACCTGAGGCCCAAACCTGGCGGGCGCAAGCCTGGAAAATAGCGGCCACGGCGCCCTCTCGAGAACCGAAAACGGACAATTCACTAATCGACGTGTCACTGTTGGGGGTTCTGTCCACCCCCGAGATCAAGGATGTTCCTCGATGGTCCTCGCCGAAGGAAACATGCACACGGCCGAGCGATGCCAAGTATTCTCAGGAACGTCCAGGGATTCCCCCGGGCGTGGCGCGCGCGCGCCCGCCGGTAGCGCAGCCGTCCAACCATGGGCCCAGAAAAAACGCCCAAGAAGACGCAGAACGCGCCACTTGGTTTGGCCGTGCTTGACATTACCGTCGGGGCGTTGACCTAAGGAACCCTAAATAAGGAACGAGGCCCCCTTTTCCTATACGTTAACCTTCGATTTCCAATGGAAAAGCTGAGGAACACCCAAGGCAGACTGTAAGACACCCAAGGAACACCGAGCCCATCCCCAACGAAAAGGGTTCCTTCTTCAGCGCCCTGACAGTACTTGGCACTGTCTGGCAGTGCTTCGGGCTGCTTGACATCAACTGGCACCGCACGGGCATCCCCGGGCAACGTCCGGGGGCGAAAGATGCCACATCCATCGGTTTCTGCTACAAGCATGTGGAACACCTGTGGGCAAAACCTCCCGCAGATTATCTTCTGGCAGTCATAGCTACCAACACTGAAGTCAAGGTGCTGATGCAAAAGTTCGACCATCCTCAGTTCGACCACACAGGAACCTCAAAAGATACCCACAGACACGCGACGTCTTGATTTTTCCGATACGGCGTCCCTGGAAGTCCCGACACTTTCCCCTGGACCTGCTTTTCATCCTGAATCAATGTTTGACGGTCCCGAGGCCCGGCGAGGGCCCCCCGAGGCCGAAAACGGACAAAGATCTCCCGTTCTGATGTTTTAACGACGCGATCATGTCTGGGCCAGCACATCTGGTCTTAGGGCCAACGTTCTTCCCGAGAGGTTGGGGGGAGGGCAACCTTTCATTATTTACTTGAACGCCCCCTGAGGGGGCAGGCTTCGCCGCGCCATGTTTGGACACGTGGAAACTTTGGGAGGCTTGGTGGAGGAAGAGAAGGACAAGTGAAACGGTCCCAGAGCGCGAGCAGAGGGTCCAAGACGGCCCCAGAGGCTCCCCCCCCAAAACACCAACAACTGCCCTAGAGGGCGCCAAGAGGCTCCGAAAACGGCCCCAGAGGGTACCTAAAGGCGTCGAAGACGGCGGAAGAAGCCGAAGAGGGATACGGAGAGGAAAAAAAGGGAGCAACGCGAGTTTGTTGTTGGGGCTCAGGAGGCCCCCCACAGACCCCCTTGGCGCGCCCAAGACGGCTGAAGAGGCATCCAAAAAGTGCGGCCAGACGGCCCAGGATGAAACCGAGAGGCCTTCAGCTCTCGCCCTCGCTCGCGCTCGCGCGCGCGGCGGTGTCCGAGCTGGCTGCGTCTCGGGAGGCGCACGGCGAGCCCATGTCGAAGACCTCGCTGGCAGCACCAATGGCGTAAGGTTCGGGGGCGTGCCAGGGGGGGGGGAGTGGGAGGGGGGCGGGCCCGAGGTCACCTAACTTCGCGCATCGCGCTTAACGATGCGCGACCCGTGGACATCTTCGCGCTACCGCGCCGCCCTCTGGGAAAGGAGAGACCAGCGGCCCAGGCCGCGACGCGCTACGCGCGGTTCTCTTCGCGCCCCTGGGGGTGACCTGGCAGCCTTCTCAGGCGGCGGGGCTTCTCACAAGCCCTCCGGCCTTCTGAGGGGCCCTCTGTGGCTGCGGGGAAGGCTTGGAGAGCTTCTCAGAAATGCCGGAAGCCTTCTGAGCCTTGTGGAAAAGCCCGCCCCCTTTCACTTCCCCCCTGGGTCCGCAGTCGTGGAGTTTGCAAGATCGTCCACTAGGGGAACAAACAACTACGCAGTGATACGCTTTCCGAGGTCCGCGCGGATTCCTTGGATCGGCGCTGGAGCCCCCTGGCGGCGTCTCCGGCGTCGCCCCTGGCTCGCTCCTCGCGCTAAAATAAGGAAGGATGTCTAACATCGTTACGAGAAAATCCGAGCACAACCGCAGACCGACCGAAGCGACAGCGAAACCAGAGCCGACCGACACGAGCAGGCCGCAAGCAGCCAGAGAGAGCGCAGCTGCGCAACAGCAGCACGACCACTGATCGCACGGAGCCAGCCGTAACGCAACCGAGCCAACCGAACCGCAGACACCCTTGAAGGGGCCCAGGGACACATCAATAAATTGGCACATAACCAGAGAACCCCATATCTTCGAGATCTTTTGTCTGCATGTTCGTCTACCCTTCCGATTCTCTAATTGTTTTCCAATCTGTTCCGGGGCGTCGGCGATTCTTAGTGTCTGTGTGTTCTTTCCCCTCATGAACACGCTCATTTTGGGCATCCGCACGCTGAGCTGCAGCGTCTTGCTGTTGGTCCGGGTGGGCGCGTGCTAGCTACACTCGAGCGCGAGGCCAACAAGTAGGACCGTTCGGCGCCGACGTGCCAAGGACTGGGAGGCGCTCGAAGTATGTACCAAGGTCTCTGGTCGGCCTGGCAGCTCGATGCACCGGCATCGTTAGTGCTATCCCCATGCCTACCTAACCTCGAAGGGCCTTGAGTTTTCATCCGCCCCCCCTGTTTCTCTCGGCGGGGAATGAAGCTCGTCCCTCCTCTTTCGCCTGCTCCTCAATTCCTTGTCCTGATAGATAACACTTCCCTGTCGCACCCCGAGCCCAATTTTTTGGGCGGGCCAGGCGTTTCGCCTGAGACTTTCTCACCACGTATGACCCTGAAGCTAAAGCAATTTCATAGATGGAGGGCGGGTCGTGTTCAAAATGTGGCTCTTGCCTTAGCGCCACGCACATTCGTTTTCAACATTGCAGAAGAGTTTCACGGATTGACGGCGGTCCGTTTTCAAAATGTGGCTCTCGCCTTAGCACCGAGCACATTCGTTTTCAACAGTTGCAGAAGTTTCGCGGATTGGGGGCGGCCCGTTTTCAAAATGTGGCTCTCGCCTTTGCGCCGCGTGTAACGTTCAAACACATCGCAAGAGCTTCACGGATTGGAGGCGGCTCCTTTTCAAACTGTGGCTCTCGCCATAGCGCCGCGCGCATTCTTTTTTTTTTACTTTGCAAGAGGTGCACGGGTTCTCATGACCAGCTTACCAGGAATAGTGTTCTGGAAGGATTCCCGATTATGAGGGTGCAACAATTACGTTGATTCGAAATGCGGAAGTCCCAAGAATGGCGTTCTGGCATGATTCAGGACCGTCAACGTCGTCGTCGTCGTCGTCGTTGTCGTCGTCGTCTTGGTTGGTCCGTGGCGTTGGAATCCCGAAAACCATGTTTTGGCATGCTTCAGGGACTTCAGACGGTTGATTTCCAACGAGGCAGGTCTCTCAGTGGAGACGGATCGTTGTAGGGGCCTATGAAAAGAAAGCTTGGAGGGAGGGTTGATTCCAACATTGTTGATGCCTCCCGGGTGTACACAGGTCATCCTCCTCTTCGTCCTCCTCTTCCTCCTTCTCCCCCCTCCTCCTCCTCCTCCTGCTCCAACGTCACTGATCAGTCTTGGGATTTCATTGATCCTCGTCCCCCAGCTTCTCCTCCTTCTTCTCCTCCCCCTCTCCTCTTCCTCGCCCTCCTTCTCCTCCTGCTCCTCCTCTTCCTCCTCGTCCTCCTCCTGCTCGTCCTCGTGGTCGTTATCGTAGTCGTCGTCGCTGTCGAGATCGCGGCGTAGATCAGTTCCCCTATTTTGTTGAGCGGACTGGATTCTCTTAGGGGGTTCTTTCTCCCAAGGAACAATCCATTGTGGGGTACCCTACACGGAGGAAGATTTGAGTTTCTTATCTTGGGGATTGTCAATCGGAATCAGTGGTTGCATGTGTAGTAATGATTGAAGACATGGTTGTAATCGCGATTGTCATCGGACTGGACTCTCTTAGGGGATTCTTTCCCCCAAGGAATGATCCATTGTGGGGTATCCTACACGGCGGGAGATTCGAGTTTCTTCTTTTGGGGATTCCCAATCGGAATTAGTGGTTGCAATTGTACTAATGATTGAAGACATGGTTGTAATCGTGATTGTAATCGTGATTATAATCGTGATTGTAGTCGTAATCGGAATGGTGCTCGTAGTCGTAATCGTAGTCGGAGTCGTCTTCGATGCGGAGAATGTGGTCCCTCTATTGATTGGCGGGCTGGATAATGTTGGGGGGTTCTCCCAGGAATCTTAATCCCTGGGCGACCCTGCACGACAGAGGGACGCTAAGCACGAGTGCAAGAGGATTGCAATATAGATCGACACACTCTTCGCCAAATTCGTTGCTCACAATCTCCTCCTTCATCTCGTCGTCGTCGTCGTCGTTGTTGTGCGGTGAATGCCGCGGAGAAATACTACTTTTCCATTCTTAGTCGGGCCCCGGTCCGTCAATAAGGGCGTCGAACAGACGGTTAGCTTCCGTGATCAGAGGGGGGGGTTTCAAACGACCGTTAGAGGTTACCCCGTAGGTCCTGCTGTCCGTGGGGACAGATTCGATTTCCGTCGGATTTGGCGGCGTCGATTTCCACCTACGGGGGTTGGCTGGTGGCGCGAAGGAAGCCTGACAAACTGGGGATGGGATAGGCCTGACGATGCTGAGCGCATGGGCGACCCAGCTCCCTCAGCTGCTGCATGCTAGCGCGTCTACGCAGCGAACTCCTCCGCCGAGCACCCGGGCTCCCTGGCCGGCCAGACGCCAGACGACTTGGTGCAGTTTTACATCGGACACCGCTGAAGACCCCCAGAGACCCCCGGAGACCTCCTGCAAGGCCATCCACGGCGACACCCAAATCGAACACCGACTACAACCAACAGGACGCAAGCCGTGTCGAGGATGCAGCGACGAACCGACGACACGAGAACCGTTCGGACCGATCCGACCGAACCGCAGTCCCCCTCGGAACCCCACCCGAGGGGGGCTCAGAGACCCCCAAGGACGTCCCGAGAGCAAGCTCGTCCTCGCCATCGCCCCCAGGCATTCCTACGCCGGGCCTCGGGCACGCCGCCAAGAAGGGGGGCGTCCAAGATGTGGGGGCGCAAACCATGGCCGGCAGCACGTGCGCGGCCCAGGGGGGGCCGGGGGACGTCTTGAAACCAGACGAGGCGCCATGAGAGAGCTGGGGAAAGTGCAGTGGCCCCCGCCATGATATATCCACCCCCCCTTGTCATCACCCCCCCTCTCAGCCGCCCCCGAGCAGCCCCCTCACTGGCCATCGCTCGGACGTCCATTTCCTGTGCTTTTTTCGGTTTCGTGCGTGGCTTTTTTTGCCAAATCATCAAGGATGCTCCTCGATGGTCCTCGCCGAAGGAAAAATGCACACGTCCGAGCGATGCCAAGCTCAGTCCTCAGTCCTCACCTGCCTCCTGGCCCCCCCCCGAGACGCTCAGAGCGTGCGTCGGCGCTGCGCAGGGCCAAGCACGACCGCCGGGCCCGACCTCGGCTGGGGCTGGCGCGCTCCTGCGAGCGGCTCCTCGCCGCACGGCACGAGGAGGCGACGACGCGGAGGGGTGGCCCTGGACAGGAGTGCCCTCTGTTGAGGGGCATCAATGAAGGGAGGGGGACTGGCAGCGGGGGGGGATGCATCCACCTGGAATCGGCGACACATCGCCGATAGATCGGCGATAGGCTCCCGATACTGAGTCCGCACCGTCCTGGGCGGGTCTGGGGGGCTATTGGGCCCCTCTCGGCGACCAGTGGGCGATTGGGGGTCGATGCGTCCCCCCCTCTGCCTATCCCCCCCTATCGTTGCCCCTGATCTGCTCTGCGGCTTGAGAACAGGGCGCGGGGGGGGCAAGCCCAAGCGCGCAAGCCGCTGCTGCCGCCTCGCGTCCAGCGGTCGTTGGCGGCGCGGGGCGCAAGAGGGGGAGGGGGCGCGCGAGGGAGGCGGCCTGCCAAGCAGGACGGTGACCTTCTAGTCGGGTGTTGCTAGACGCGCCCCTGGCCCAAGGTGCCCCCACGATTTCCAAGGATGCCCCCATGGCCTCTAGAGCACCCCCTCACGAGGCCCAGAGGGACACCAAGGGGCTCCGAAATTGAAGGACCAGCTGGGGACACCTTGAGCTAGAGGCACCTTTAGCAACCCCCGATCTAGGAAGACACATGGCCTGGAAGACCTCCCGGCGCCTCGGAAGGGGCTGCACCGGCACGGATTGGACACATAATCAGGTCGGACGTGCCAAGATGTACAACAGCGCCATGTGAGCGACGATCCAAAACGGGTCTTACGCGAGATGGCACAGCGACCTTGCGCGGCGGCCCACGCGGGCCGCGAGCGCGGCACGCCGCCTTGGAAGCGAGCGCGATTACGCACGACCTCGAGCGGGCAGCTCACGCACCGATGTCGGCGCGAGCTATACCATCGGTGGACGTCGGGCCGTCGGCGTGTCGGAATCGAGCCGGACCGAGGAGGCCCGGAATCGGGATCGAGACGGAGCGATCGGATATCGAGACGTGCCCTGGACGGCGAGAGAGGCTCGGCCAGCTAGGCCGCGGGCGACGGGCTTGATCGAGGGGCGAACCGCGCCCAGCTCGCCTACTGCGGGGGCGACGTGCAGGCGGGGAGGGCTGGGAGGAGTTGATGGGGGGAAGCAAACAAGGAAGGGGGAAGGGAAGGAGGGAGTGAGGGATGGGAGATGAAGAGGAATAAGGAAAGGGGGAAGGAGGAAGAGAGACATGACATGCCCCTGCTCATCTCCTCCATTCCTCCCCATGTCCGGCATGGGGAAGGATGGAGGAGATGAGAGGGGAGGAAGAAGGGGAAGGAAGGAGCTGAAGAAGGAACTGGGGAGGACGGGGAGGGGAAGAACGAAAACGAATCTGGAAGAGAAGGCGGAGGAATATCAGGGATCAAGGGTCAGGGAGAAGAAACGCGAGCAAAACCCAATCGGAAGAAACAAGAGGTAACTCGTGGGGTGATTTCGTGGGATCGCGTACGACTACAACGCAAATTCAATTCAAAAACTATGCAACCGGATTGCGCCAAATTAGGTGCATGATTAAATCGGGCCAAACGGGATTGAACCAATGTGAATTGGTTTTCGACAACGGATCTACCAACGCCGATGCTGACTTCGGCGTGCGGGAGACAAGATTCGTGATATGAACTCGCAAAAACGGGATTACTTGATGTACGGCTTGGGTGTACATTGTTCAACCAGCGGTCCCCATATGCTCGATTGAATGATACGGTCGAACGCTTTCTTGGATTCTACGGCGGTTGACCACGATGGAAGTTGCCACGCATACGCAATATCCTGCAGTAGCGTTGCTGTGAGTAACTGGTTGGTGGTGCTGCGGTGAGGTCGAAACCCTGCTTGGTAAGTGCTCTGGCTGGTGTCTAGTAGTTGATGTAGTCGGTTGCAAAGTAGCTTTGAGAAGAGCTTGCGCAGTGTAGGAATGATTGCAATGTGTCTGGAATGTTTTGCTTGTTGGGTGCCTCCATTCTTGTGAAGTACCTTTATTACTGTGTCGCCAGCTGGTCGGTGTTGGAAACTCGGGTCGGATGCCCAGAAAAGTCGGCAGCTCTGTTGGACCGTAATTGGAGCAAGGCGGTCTCCAGCTCGTTTGTCGTAAATGGTGGGATTCTGTCAATTTGAACGTTTTTTTCGTTGCTCTGGTTGCTGCCGTCTCGATCGTTGCTCGTGTTGCTGGCGTTGCGTCTGTCGCCGCTGTTGTTGAGGACTGCGTAGCAAGTCGCAACAAGATCTGCTGTAGATTGTCCGTCGTGCTGTGTCTCCCAGTCCTTGTCGATCATTCTCGTGATGCACGTTCGTTTCTTGATTCTGTCGGCACAACTGATGACATTGAAGTCCTTACGCTCGGATAAGATGCGATCGATTGTTGCCCGCCGGACTGCTCTTTTGATGGCCCAGATCTCTTTGATGATGTTTGTTGAGCTGGGTCCTCGTTGCTGTCTCGTGGGATGGTGCGTCACGTCTCTGATTGAGTAGCTGAGTCAGTGCATCGCTAGCTGTGCGGCTGCTTCGGTGTCGGTTTGTGCTCGCAGGTTGCAACTGCAACAACATATCTCGAACCGATGTTTAGATTTGCTCAGATTGTACTCATAGCCTGGTCCCTTGAAGAAGTTTGTCGAGCTGTCTTGAAAGTGAATGCTAGTTTTGCGTCAGGACAGTGGGTGGCTATGCTGGTCGTGGTTGACGTCGGCGTTGTTGTCGCGTGTTGCTAGGCGGTGTGTGTTCGTTGTCAGAGTTGAGCGCGCACGACAATCGCAGAGCTCGATGGTCAGAACCCATGCCGATGTCGCAATTCGACTCGTAGTCTGTGTTCGCCACAGCTTTTCATTCGCCAGGAAATGATCGATTTGTCTGTCTGCCTTCTGGGGAGACGTGTAAGTAATCGATTGGCTGCTCTGATTGTAAAAACGAAGTCATTGATTGGCAAGACGACGTCGTTGATTGGTTGCCCACTGTTTTAGCTATTGCCCTCGAGCGGTCATGGGGCCTATCCCGTGCTGCCCCGAAGTACATCTTGCACTTACTCAGCGCCCCCCCTTGTACAAGAATGCTGCGTGCATGCCCCCTCCCGAGATCGCGATTTCTCGTGAACAAAACTATGGATCCGCGCTCCCGTGGCTACGTCTCCTCGTGAAGACAACGATTGACCCGCGTCTGGAGCTTGCAAGACTGCCCACGCAGGCAACCCAGGACACAAAGATGGCCCAAGATGCCTCGAAGACGGTCCAAGATGGCCTGAAGGCTGCCGAATATGGTCTCAAACGGCCCAAGATGCCTCCACGAGGGCCCATAGCAGCATCAACAACAACATGACCTCCAATAAAGGCCGAAGAAACCAAACTCTGCTACTTCCTGTGTTTCTGATGCGTTTCCGAGTTCTAGCTTTTTCGAGCTTCCGTGAGCTCAAGACGGCAAAAAAAAAACACCGCGATGGTGCCAGGACGGCACAATAAGTCCCCAAGAGTGTCCCAAGATGGGCCACGAGGACCCCACGATGAGCCAACATGCATCCAAGACAACCCAAGAAGGCCCCCATGGGGGATCCGACGGCCTTGGAAGGCCCCTTCGACAGTCAAACCGGGCGCCAAGACGGCACCACGGCGGCCCCCAGACACCCACCATGACACCAAGAGGGCGCCAGCACGGCCCGAGGGAGCTCAAAGACGGCGCAAGAGGGCTCAAAGGTGGCCACAGTGGGCCCCCCCAAACCCGCAAGACTGCCTCACAGGAGGCCGAGACAGCTCCAAGACAGCGCGAACGAGATCCATGAGGGCTCTTCACACAGTGACGACGGCGTTCATCCTGCCTCCTCCTCGTCGCGACCCCAGACGCGTCGGTAGGGCGATCTCGGCGCTCCACTCCAGAATTCCTCACCGTTTAGATCCCGACGCCTGGTCTTCGCGGGCCGGAGCGCTAAGCGCGACAGGAAAGAACAACCAGCCTTATGTCGCTCCCATCGTACTTGAGAACCACATCCCAGAAATAATTTCGAGCACGGGAAAAGCGTCGAAAGAGTGTGGATAGAGTTTCGGACGAGTGTCTCCCAGGGCCCGACACGTGAAAACCCTCGAGTTTCGGTCCTTTGCTGCTGCTCGAAATTCTTCCTGGTGGTCGAGGTTAAAGCAGCTTGGAACATCATAAGGTAAGCCATGGACAGGAAACATATCCAGGTAAGGCGTCCGCACATGACGTCAAAACACGACCTGGGTGAAGACCAGAACGCCCTGGGCGACGGGCCAACAGCGCCAAGTCGTCGAAGCAGTGACGACCACGGTCACCGCCACGCACACTCGTTGTCACAGTGTGGCTCTCGCCCTAGCGCCGCGCGAGTTCGTTTCAAGAGTTGACGACAGTTTCAAGGATGGAGTGCTGTTTCTGTTCAAGATGTGCTTCTCACCATAGCGCCGCACACATTCATATGAAAAATCTGTGACAGCTTGAAGGGCTCGTATGTTTGCACTCTCACAAATGCTGGGTTCTGGCACAATTTAGGGCGGTCAGAGCTCAACAGCCACGTTGACTCGTGGTCTTGACATCCAAATAATGGTGTTCTGACGCGGTTTAGGGATCAGGACGCAACACTCATGTTGATTCGCGGCGTTGAAATCTCAGGACTTGTGCTTTGGTACGGTTGAGGATTCTCAGACGGTTGTCTTTCAAGTGGTCACTTCCCTCAATGAAAATAAATTCCTGTAAAGACCAGTGGACAGAGAACTTCGAGGGACAATTTACTGCAAATCGTTGATGCGGCTAGGGTTTACACTGGTCCTCCCTCCGCATCCGTGTCCTCCTCCGCATCATCCTCGTAACGGCTCCCCCAAAGCAAGAAAAACGAGGTTTTACACGTGACGGCCTTCCGTGCCCCCCGAACACTCGCCGCGCAAGATGCTGGGCTGGCACGGCGGCGACTGGCCGCAGGCAGCTAGGCAATTCGGAGACGCGCAAAACATGCAATACCGATCCATGGATCTGGCGAGCGGTCGCCAAATCCATGGACCGGGGGAGGCGCCCTCCCCAAAATGCGACCAGTGCCGCCGATCGTTTTGCGGCGGAAGTCCGCGATTTCCCATGGAAGCGGGACCCGTTGCTAATGCACGCCACCTTGATCCATGTTTGCGATCGCCTGACCCTGTAATGTCGCTCCTGGTGGGGGGGTCTGCGTGTCACGTTTCACGTGCCAATCTTTTGTAGGTCGCAGACCGCCCCAGCAAATGTTGGTTCGAGCTCCGTCCATGGTTGGATTGCACTGCAGACAGGTCTTATCTGATCCTCCTCCACCTCCCCCTCCCCCTCCTCCTCCTCCTCCTCCTCCTCCTCCTCCTCCTCCTCCTCCTCCTCCTCCTCCTCCCTCTCCTCGTGGTCCTCCTTCTCCTCCTCCTCCTCCTCGTGGTCCTCCTCCTCTTCCTCCTCCTCCTTCTCTTCTCTTCTTCTCCTCCTCCTCCTCCTCCTGCTCCTGCTCCTCATCCTCCCCCTGGTTCTTTTCCTCCTCCAGCTGCTCCTCCGCCTCGCTAGGGCGCGGGGCGATGTCACACCTGGTGGTGGGGGGTCTGCCCGTCACGCTTCTCGCGCCGTTTCGCGTATAGGCTGCAGGCCGCCGAGCAAATGTTGGCTCGAGGTTCGTCCTTGGTTGGATCGCACTGCAGAGGTGCCTTCTCTTATCATCTTCCTCTTCCTCCTCCTCCGCCTCCTCCTCGTCCTTCTCCCCCTCGTGGTGCACCTCCCCCCCTCGTGGTTCTCCTCCTCTTCCTCCTCCTCCTCGTCCTTCTCCCCCTCGTGGTCCTCCTCCCCCCCCCCCCTCGTGGTCCTCCTCCTCCTCCGCGTCCCAGCAGCGCCGGCCGCCGCCGCGCCCCGCGCCCGCCGCCTCCGGGCTTCCAGCCTCCGCCCTGCGACGCGGTGAGGCGCGCGGCGGCGCGGGCGGCCAGGGCCCGGACGGCCTCGGGGGCGGAACAAGAAGGCCGCCGCCTCTCGCTGTCACGAGCAGCAGAAGTCGTTCAGCCCCCCACGACCCCCTCCCTCTTCATGATCGACGACATCCTCTCCAATCGACTTGCGAGGACAAAGCCACATGCATCGAGCCAAAGCCACTCCAGGTGGATCAGTGTAAACCTGAGTATGTCCAAGCAAATCTGGAACACCCTCGACAGCTCCAGCGCGAATCGAGGGAAACCAAAACTCATTGAGGCCTTTGTTCTAGATTCCGGGAAGTTTACTTACATGCAAGGAGTGTGGGGTGTCGCGAGGCCCGAAAGGAACTCTGGACTGTACGCAGATCGGGATTGACATGCACGCCTTTTCGGCCCAGAACCGTTTGCAAAGGCAACGGAGGGGGCGGGGGAGGGGAGATGCCACGCAAGTGACCTTGTCTGAGCCTCGGGCCGCCACGACCACCACCGATCGTCCCCGCCAGCGCAAGAACTACGAGGAGGGGACTCAGACGCCCGGCCATCTCAGGTCGGCGACTCCGAGAGATGCGGTCAGCAAGAGGTGTGGTGCGCAACCCGCACCCTGGGAGGCAGGGCGAGGACGGTGTCCCCCGAGCCCCGGCGACGCAGACCGCAAGCCACACTCTGGCGTGACCACACCCTTTGCAGTCACCGACTGGGGGCCAGGCGCACACAGCTGCTGCAACAGAAGGGTTAGCATATGCCACTACTGGATTGGCAGAAGTTGCCAAATGATAGATTCCGGAAACCCTTACGGGGCGTGAAAACGACCACAACCACTGCTTTTCTTTTGTTGCCGCCTTCCGGCCCGCAGAAACAAAGCAGTGGTTGTGGTCATTTTCGTTGAGCTTGGCGCCAGGGAAATGACCACAACCACTGCTTCTTTGTCGGCAGGCTGGAAGGCGGCGCAAACAAGAAGAAGTGGCTGTGGTAATTTTCCCGTCCCGCAACACTGCATCGATAGATTGACTGCATCTCTTCCAAGTCAATACTTTACTTCCGCAGGCGGACCTGCCGCCGACTTGCTTCTGCGGGCTTCCGTGGGGGAAGAGCTGCCGACTTATCGATCCCTAAGGCGACCAACACCGCAGCTCTTCCATGAGCCCCAAAGCAAGGGGGAACGACAGAGGGGGACCAGCTCAGGGGGGGAACATCGACCCTGAATCGGCGAAACATCGCCCACAAATCGATGACATACCCCCGATGGCGAATCCAAACGCTCCTTCCGGGGAGTGGTGGGCTAGCAAATCCCATCGGCGATTACTGGGCGACTGGTGGTTGCTGCATTGAACCGTGAGCTGCTCGGGCACACGAACGGGAAGCCCGGGCGGTTCGCGAGCAGGAACCTGCCAAGGCCACCATCCTCCTATCACGCCTCCTTCCTCCCCCTTGTCGTCTGCGTCGTCGTCGTCGTCCTCCACCTCCTCCTCCTCGTCCTCCTCCTCCTCCTCCTCCTCATCTTCCTTCCTCGTGCACCTCCTCCTCATCCCGCCCTCTTCTCACACCTTGCTGTCCCTCCTCCTCGTTCTCACATGCATTACGGATCCACGGGTTGGGACAGGCGTCCTATGGCGCCGATGTCGCCTGGCTTGTTTGCTTGGGTACTCGAGTTCTGCGCTTCCTCGATGAGCCCATCCTCCCTCGTGTCCGCCGCGGCGCGGCGTCGTGGGCGCAGGCTTAGGTCAGGCATGTCCTCCCACAGGCAGATTTTGGACGAAACTTACAAATTCACCCCCCAGCAAAAAAAGACTCGATCTCTTGTGGAACAAAAGATCTAAACATCGTCCCCAAACTGTGCTTGGACTATCTTTGAATATTCCTCCTGTAGAGGGGCATGCCCGACTGAAGCGCAGGCCCACGGCCAGCTTCAGCGCCCAGTCCTTCTTCTGAAACGGCTGACCGCCCGAGCCACGACGAGGAGTGGCCGCAGACGCCGGGCCAGGACGAGGCTACGCTCGGACGCTGGCGGGACTGGGCTCGGTGGGACCTGGTGGAGCGGGGTGTACTTTGTGCAGGGCAGGGGGGTCAGGCCTGCAGAACACCCGAAACGGACGTCAAGGGGCGCAACCTACCTGTTCGGTCAAGCCGAGACTGGTGCACCCCATCCGGCGTCAAGCCAAAACTTTGGATATGAGCGAGTGTGCGGACTTTGCACATCTTCGTCGGCTTAACCAACGCGGCGTTTGACCACCTTGACGTCCCTTCTTTGGTGGCCCTGCAGAGGAAGGCGCTTTCTGACCCTCGACCCTACTCAAAATGTACTGGGGGACGCCAACCCCGCCCCATTCCACTGACCGGAACTGCCGTCACAAGAAGAAGAACCAGCCACGGCAGACCTGGCTCAGTGCTTCCAATCCATATTTGGACTTCGGGGCCCAATGCCCAGCCGTCGCCCCTTAACCCAGATCCTGGCTAGACCCGATACGCGTCGGACGGAAGGAGTGGGTAGAAACATGAAGTAGGACGGCGTGGAACGTAGGTTGGGCTTCACCCCGCTGCCTAAGAGCAGGGAAGAGGGAACACCACTCGAGTCTTAACGTAGGAAGGCGCCTGAAGTCGATTGAGACGTGCGCGACGATCAAAAAAGGTCTCACGCGAGATGACACAGCGACCTTACGCGGCGGCTCACGCAAGCCGCAAGCCGCCAACGCAACACGCTGCATTGGAAACGCGGGCGCTTTCGCGTGACCTTGCGAGCGCAGCTTACGCGCCCATGCCGGCGCAGTCGACCTCCCTTTTTTGCCTCGCCCACCTGGGCAGCCAACATCCAGAAAGACCTGCCTTCGACGACCGACGGGGACACGCTCGTGTTGGCGCGCCCGGGCTTCTCTCTGGCTCCCTCGGTTGGCCCACCCTCCCTTCACGCGGGGGAACTACTGACCTGGGTCACTACGAACTCCAGATTTCGTAATAAAAGGGAGGGGGTCTGGACCCTCCAAGACAAGCCATTTCAGACCTCTCCCGTGGGAGAACCCTCCAAAATATCGTCCCCAGACCCCCCAGGCCCTCCCAGATAGCCTGGAAGAGACCCCCCCCCGAAATGAGACCCCCCTCCTTTATTACGAAATCTGGAGAGCCCAGATCGGTCAGGCCCTGCAGGCTCCTGCAGGATCCTGCACCCGAGCCCGGGCCTGCGCCTCCCTGGCCCGCACCCTGGTCTGCGCGACGCCTGGCCCTGCAGAGCCCCGCAACAGACCCGGCGCTCTGACGGACCCCCGCCCGCTTGCCTCGAACCCCGTCTCCCCAGTCGGAGCCCCGAAGCAGTGCGGTGACAGACCGTGCGGTGGCCTCGAGATCCCCCAGGGCCTCACCGCACGGTCTGTCACCGCACGGTCCTGGGGACCTCGGAGGCCCCTTGCCGCCCGAGACGTCCCCGGAGAACGACCCGAGCCCCAGACCCGTGCGAGCCCCAGACCCGTGCGGTGACCCCGAACCCCCAGCGGCTCACCACACGGCGTGGTCACCACCCCGTTTTGGGGGCCCCCGGCTTCAGCGGGCCCCCATCACGCTGCCCACCCCCCCCGCCTGGGGGCGGAGGGCGGCAGGCGGCGCGGCCCCCCCCGTGGGGGGAGGGCCGGGGGGGGGGGGGGCCTGCCGCCTGCGGGCGCCGAGCTCCGCGTCCAGCTCCGCGAGGGCCCGCTCGCACTCCACCGCCTGTGACGCTCCCCGCGGGCGGACGTGGGGGCTGCAGGCAGGGGGAGGGCTTGCCGTCGCTCGGACATCCAGTTCCCATGCATTTTTTTCGATGTCGTGCGTGTTTTTTTAAATGCTCGATGGTGCAGGATGGTCCTCGATGGTTCTCGCAGAGAAAAACATGCACACGTCCGAGCGATGCCAAGAGGGGGGACGCCTGACCCCCCCCCGGCTCCTCCTCGAGCCTCCTGCCCCTCCCGCGCCTGCCCCTCCTCCTCCCCGCCGCCCTCCGCCCTCCCCTCCCCCTTCTCCGCGCCCTCTTCGTCGCCCTCTCTCTCCTCCCCCCTGTACCTGCACGAAGAAGCCAGGACGAGGGTCGATTCGGGCAAGGATGAATCAAGGAGCCCTGAGACCCCGCGGCTTTGGAGGATGTCTCGGGCACCGCCGCGGCCGTCTCGGAGCGTTCCGAAACGCTCTGAGGGGACGGCAGTTGGCGGCGCGCAAAAGCGGGTACGCGGAGGGGAGAGGGTTTCTTGAAAAGAGGTGGCGTCTATAGATCAGCGACGGGCCCCCGCGAGCGAAACCAGACTTTCCTGGGCGGGGTCGACTCAGTGCCCTATCGGCGATGCACAGGCGATTGGGGGTCTCGAAGCTCTCCCCTCCCCTAAGCCTATGCCGCCCTGCCGCTGTCCAAGGTGAGGACTAATCCAGAATCCAGAATTAGATCGAAGGCAAGGTGAGGACATATCCTCTTATCCCCATCCAGAATTAGAGCGAAGGCAATTCAAGATGAGGGTGAAAGTGAAGAGTCTCTGCAAACTGGCGGGGCTGCACGATGTGTCGGGCGCCACGAGCATTCCGCTCTGGCACGAACTTTCCTTATCCTAGGCCTGCCTACTCCGCCTCTAACGTTGCCCCGTGGGATTTGGATCATAACTCGGCTCTCTGGCGGCCGTTCGGGACGATGCGGGCACCCCTGGAACGCCCACGGCGAGGCGCAGCCGCTGAAAGGCGTCCCGAAGCTGGAAAACGGCCACGAGCCGACGCAAGCATGGGAAAGCCCCGAGCCTCGAGCCTCGGGCCTACACCCCCCTCACGTCGCCCCTGTGCTCTGCAGGTAGCGCGGCGGCATGTGCTCGTGCCTCTTTCGGCGCCCGGAGCCCGGAGGCCCCAGCAGGGCCCCCGACGGCGTCAGACAGCGGCTCGGGACGACACGTCTGTCGCCCGGCAGAGGTCCAGGACTCCCGGCGCCCGCAGGAAGAGTCGCGACGTCGGAGAGCTTGGTCTTGGTTGTTTTGACCGTCGTGCTTCTCCTCCTCCTCCTCCTCCTCTCTCCTCCTCCTCTCTCCTCCTCCTCCTCCTCCTCCTCCTCCTCCCCCTCCCCCTCCCCCTCCTCCTCCTCCTCCTCCTCCTCCTCCTCCTCCTCCTCCTCCTCCGCTTCCTCCTCCTCCTCCTCCTCCTCCTCCTCCGCTTCCTCCTCCTCCTCCTCCTCCTCCTCCTCCTCCTCTGAGCTCGTCACGAAAGGAGTTCGCCGCGAAAATGCATCCACAGGCACCCGCCGACGAGCTCTGCCTGCACCTTCGGGGAAGGTGGCGGTGTAAAAAGTCGCTGGCCCTCAGTGGCGATTTCAACACTGCCACCCTCCCTTGCGGCCCAAGAACAATCCGTTGGAGGGGGGTGTCTGTGTATATACATACGTATATGTATGTTATATGTATTCTTTTATTTCTGTGGCGAACTGAACAAGCAAAATCGTAGAACACCGGAACCCCCTCCCCCAACATTTGTGTATCAGTTTTCGAGCCGGATCGATCCACAAGGCGAAACCACCAAGTGCGAATAAAAGCTACTGCGACGCCATGACCGCAAGGCCCCCCCCCTCCTGCAAGCTGGGGCCTTCAGTGGAGCTCCCAATGGAGCCTCGAAGCGCTATGCTGGGTGGGGGTCCCCGCATGCGGACACCGCCACTGGGGCCTTCGGTGGAGCTCCCTGTGGGGCCACGAAGCGCTGTACTGGGTGGGGGAAACGCATGTGGACACCGCCACTGGGGCATCCGGTGGAGCTCCCAAACTAATCGCTGTACTGGGTGGGGGGAAACGCATGTGATCACAGCCACTGGGGCCTTCGGTGGGGCTCCCAATGGAGCCACGAAACGCTTTGCTGGATGGGGGGAACGCATGCGGACTCCGCCGCTGAGGCCTTCGGTGGAGATCCCACTGAGGCCACGGAACGTGTGAGGGGTGTGCCGAAATGGGATGCGGAGGACAAAAGCAAAAAGGGGGAGGAGGAAGGCGAGAGGAGGGAGGGGGAGGAGGAAGGAGAGGAGCGGAGACGCTGGGCGCTTCATCTTCAAAACGAGGACTCAACACTGCAGGATGGTTGGAGAAAGACCGCCATTCCCCCAGCGTCAATAGCCTGACGACAGACCCAACCATGCGCAGCTGTGAATACCGCATACGTGAGTATCGTCTTCGGTGGAGCCACCTATGAGGCCACGAACGCTGTACTGGGCGGGGCAAACGCATGCGAACACCGCCAGTGGGGCCTTCGATGAAGCTCTCTGCGGGCCACGAAACGCCGTACTGGGAGGGGGACACGCACGAGAACGCTGCCGCTGGGGCCTTCGGTGGAGCTCCCTGTGGGGCCACGCAACGCCGTACTGGGTGGCGCGGGACGCATGCGTACACAGCCATTGGGGCCTTCGGTGGAGCTCCCAATGGGGCCACGAACCGCCGTGCTGGGTGGAGCGGGATGCGTTCACAGCCACTGGGACCTTCGGTGGAGCTCCCTCTGGGCGACGAAACATGTGAGCGGTGGGCCGAAATGGTTGCCTGGCGCGGAGAGCAGAGGCAGGGATGGGAAGAGGGAGGAGGGGGAGGAGGAAGAAGTGAGTGAGTGACTCGGGGCGCTGTCTCTTCAAAACGAGCACCCAACACCACAGGATGGTTGGGAAAGAAGTCATGTTGTCGGCGCACTGCCAGTCAGTCATCCACCCCACCTGTGGGGACAAATTTTTCGCCCCAGGCCAGCTTCGAGAATCCCGGGGCCCCCGAGACAGGCGGCGTGACGACGACATCGCAAAAAAGGCGCCAAACTTGAACAATGGCGACATCGCAGGTCTGGGTCCCTTCCCTCCTCCGGTATTCTTGCCGCTCTTGCTGATGCCTCCGCGCCGTCCCTGCCCGGGCCCATCCTGAACCCAGGATGTGCCCGAGGCCCAAGCCCCTCGACGCGCTCGTACAGCGCAGCGGCAGATAAACAAACACGCAATAATACATTCACGGACGCCACGCTGGGCAAACCATAGAAATGCCTGGAACAGGGGATCCCCAGACACTTCCAGGAATACGCCCAAGAAGCCTAATCTAAGCAAGCAAACCGTCGAAAAAACATAAATAATCCGAAACAAGGTGTCCCCGAACACTTCCAGCAAAACGCCCGAGAACCCTCCTTTGGGAACGCTGAGGTGGGCACTCAGTAGATGACTGTGCTGATATTGCTGGGCCCCTCCCCCAAGAATGCCCCCCAGAGCTCCCATACACGGTATGGGGCTTTCTAGATCTGGCTGTAAATGTCGTGGTCAGTCAGTGATGTCAATCCTGGTGTCTCTCTACGATGCTGAAGGGCAATTCGGGTAGTCTGTGGGTGGAGCGTGTATTGGTACCTGCTCTATGTCAGAATGGGCGTGTTCCGCTGCTAGATACTGTGTGTAGTGCTGTTGGTGTTCCCGCACGGTATTGAGGTATTCGGTGAGAACTACCGCCTCATATTCGTTTCGCTTGTTGTGGGAGTCGCCGTTGGGTGCGATGTTGATCCTCTCTGACCGTCTTCGATGGGTGGCAGGTGCTGTTGGCTGAAAGTAGGCACGGATGGCTGCTTGCGTTTGTGCTGTGCGTCGGTGAGGTGAGATGTCAGCAAGCCATCCACCCTTGGCGGTGGAAATATTCGGCGGGGGAGACCGCGGGAAGGGTAAGTCTGGGTGGTGGTGATGGTGCTGGTATTAGTGTTATACTTATGGTGCTGGTGATGGTTGTCCTGCTGTGTCACTGCTGGTGTCGGTGTTGCTTTGCTGTGAGACTGCAGTCTGCAGTCGTAGCGGTTGCTGGGTCGTGTTCTTGAACTTTGCTTTGGTTGATGGCCTCGGTATGCTGTTGGATGGTGTCGCTGTCAATGGAGGTCGAGAAGGTGCTGCTGGCTGGGTCCCGTGTGACATGGTCCAGTGTGACATGGTCCAAAGAGATGCCATATGGGCAGCTGACTTCTGTTAAGTAGTGCCGCTGGTGCCGCTGCGCCTGGTAGGTCGTCGGCCCATGTAGCTGCCAGGATGTTGAATATCCATTAGGCTACGTTTAGGTCAGGCATGTCCCCCTACAGGCGGATTTAGGACGAACATCTTCAAAGATCCAGAAAATAAATCGTCCCCAGACTAGTTTTTGTTCGACTATTTTTGAATCTTCCTCCTGCGGAGGGACACGCCCGAGTAAAGCTTAGCAGGTCGTCGGCCCGTGCAGCTGCCAGGACGTTCAATACTCATTCGGCTACGTACGTGCAGGGCGTTGTCCAGCAGCGGTGCCGCGCCTGCACGTGCGGCCGCCAGACCTCGTCGTGGATGTGCCGGTTGGCCACTGCTGCGCAGAGCCGATCACATCTGCGCCAGGGCCGCATTCTGCCTGTAATGCGTCAGGGCTGTGGCCGGCTGTGGTCTTTGGGCTCCCGCGTTATCGGGGGTAACTCGGGCCCAGGGGAATTCGGGTCTGGATTCCCGAAAAACGAACCCGAGTTAGCCCTGACCCGAGTTACCCCTGATGATTCGGGGCTCTGGACGCCTTAATTATCCGGGGCAACCCGGGCCCAGGGTAACTCGGGTTCGGATTCCCATAAAAACGAACCCGAGTTAGCCCTGACCCGAGTTACCCCTGATGATTCGGGGCTCTGAGGTCTTGCTCGTTCTGGAGCTGGTGGAAGGGGAATCGAGTCAACTGGCCGTGCATCTGCAAGCGGCATCTGATGTGGTACGTGAAGGGTGGTTGGCAATGCCGTCGTATGTGGTTAGTGGGGCCGTGTGTGTGTGTGTGTGTGTCTGCGGTCGTAGCAGTGGTGCTCTCTTCCTCCTTTTCCCTCCTTTTCCTCCCCCTCATCCTCCTCCTCCTCTCCCTCATCCACCTCCTCCTCCCTCCTCCTCCTCCTCCTCCTCCTCCTCCTCCTCCTCCTCATCCTCCATCTACTCATCCCCCGTGTCACCCCCCTTCGCCCTCCTTATCCTCATCCTCGTCCTGCCCCGCCATTCTCCAAAAGCCTCTCCACGTCAAGACACCTGCAAGAGCTCTTTTTACACGGCTGCTGCTGGTCCCAGAATTGTCACGGCCCGGGCCACGTACTGCTCGATGGCGGCGTGGAAGCCGTAGTGCAGGGCATCCATGTCGATGTCGTGGTCCGAAGCCATCGCTGCAGAGCGGAGACCCAAGTCTGAAACGGAGGGTGAGCCACCAAAAAACGGCTCCAGGGGCGGCGTCGTGAATAATCACAGCTCGTCGCGAGGATCATCAATGTGGAAATGCTCGAAAAGCTGGCGAATCAACGGATGATGGGAACTGCAAGAGGTCAAGGCGGTCAAGACGGACAAGGAAAAGACACACACACACAGAAATCAGACGCTCGGTAGACGCGGCACGTTTGAGGACGCATGCGAATGAACCCCGTCCTTGCCTAGTTGCCTGGTCGCATGAGGCGACGAGTCGTCTACAGAACGTCCACAGGGTGCTTTTGGGGATATAGAAGCTGCACCATGGAGGAAGGTACGGATGCAAAGAGGACGCTCTCGACGACAGCGAGGAGGGGGGTTTGAAAGGGAAACGTGGAGAATGAGGCGACGAGAGGGAGAGGCGGAGGCGGATGAGGGTAAGCAAAAGGCCTTGGGTCATCTCCTGGAGATCTGATGTGTCGCTTCTTCTCCCAGCATGGGGCCGCCGCAATCCAGAACTTTCTACTAGACGAGGACAAATAAGGAATGTCTGAACACCGGCGGGTCTGAAGGATGTATCTCGAGGAGGGGCCAACAAACCAAACATTCCTATAGGCCCGATGGGCCTACCAGGCCATGTTCTGAGAAGGAACAAATGTTTCAGTCCGCCACCGTGCCAGCACGGAGTGGGCGTGTTAGAATGCTCGTCTGCTGTCTGGGGGGGGGGTCTTGAGTCTTTCGGCAGCCGCCCCAACGTACCCGGAAAACGCCCCACCGTACCTCCCGCAAGCATGCCTAAACAAAATCGCTCCCACACGGAATTTGCTCTCAGGCGCTCTCATCTGCCTCTAGACGGCCAGGATGGTATCCAAGATGGCTTGGCTTCCAAGAAAGCCAAGGTAATACCAAAACGAGCCAAGATGGCAGAACACGGCTCTAGAAGCTCCCAAGACGGCGCCAAGACGGCCCCAGAGGCCCCTGAAACAGCCCGAGGCGGCTCCAAGACGCCCTCCAGGAGATCCCGAAGAGGCAGTAAATATTGATGTCCCTTTGGTCTCCGACTGACACTGATTGTGATATTATCAGCGCTTGGTTTCTGACCGCCCAAGTCGACCCGGGGGCCTTCAAAACAATTTCAAGACAACCCATGAGGCACACAATGAGGGCCCCAAATCGGCCCGAAAGGAGCCGACCCCGATGAGGCGAAACATATTGATTACGGCTAAACTTCAAAATATCATCGGGTTCCCGACCGTACACGACGGCCGAAGAGGCCTCCATGATACATCCAAACAGCCCATGGCCCCCCGAGAAAAAAGGCTCAACTCGGCCCAGCACCACCTCAGTAACCCTCAGAAGTGGCGGCAGCCTCGCAATTTGCAGTCCTCCAAAATTGCGAGGCCGAACATGAATCCCCGGCGGGAGCACACGATGCTGGACCCCACAGCAGCAACCTTCGAAGATGGAGACAGGCTTGCAACTCGCAGCCCCCGAAGGGGCCCCGCATGGCAGGGTCGAACCTGAATCCTGAGAACCCCCCAAAGTGGCAAGAAGTACAGGTTGCCGATGACCCGCTCGGATTACCAACATGAAGTGCGGGACCCGTAGGGAGGGGGCTCCCGCCTGAGACTTCCTCACAATTCACTCACAGACGAGGCTCCCGCGTGATACTTCCTCCAAATTCATGCCTGAGAAGCCCAAACGTTGCGACAATTACAGGTTGCCGATGACCCGCTCGGATTACCAACATGAAGTGCGGGACCCAGATACTTCCTCCAAGTTCATGCCTGAGAACCTCAAAAAGTGACGACAGTTATAGGTTTCCGATGACCCGCTCGGATTACCAACATGAAGTGCGGGACCAATAAGGCGGGGGCTCCCGCAGGAGACTTCCTCACAATTCACTCACAGATGAGGCTCCCGCTTGATACTTCCTCCAAATTCAAGCCTGAGGAGCCCCAAAGTGGCAACATTTACAGGTTGCTGTTGCCGATGACCCGCTCGGATTACCTACATGAAGTGCGGGATCCATAGGGAAGGGGCGGCTCCCGCCTGAGACTTCCTCGGGTGACATAAGCGAGTGACGGTGATGAGTGAGTGAGTGAGTGAGTGAGTGAGTGAGTGAGTGGGTGGGTGGGTGGGTTGGTGGGTGATGGTGATGGTGATGGTGATGGTGATGGTGATGGTGATGGTGATGGTGATGATGATGATGATGATGATGATGATGGTGATGGTGATGGTGATGGTGATGGTGATGATGATGATGATGATGATGATGATGATGATGATGAGTGGTGATGAGTGGTGATGAGTGCGATTATGATGGTGGTGGTGATGATGATGATGATGATGATGATGATGATGAGGGGTAGAGAGAGAGGGAGGAGGCGGAGGAGAGATCCTGCGCGGAGGGTGCAGAGAAAACAATAACCTCACTTAGGACGTGGGGAAAAATAATCCCCAGACTATATTTTGAGTATGTTTGACTATTCCTCCTGTAGAGGGACACGCCCGACTTAAGCTCAGGGCGGGGTAGCGCTGGCCTGGAATCGGCAATGCACCGGCCATGCATCGGCCATTGCCCGTCGACCAAGCCGCGCGCTCCTGGGCGGAGGAGGAGGAGGAGGAGGAGGAGGAAGAGGAGGAGGAGGAGGAGGAGGAGGAGGAGGGAGGAGGAGCGGGGCATCGGCGACAAATGGGCGACTTGGGGTCGGTGCGCCCGGAGCCGCTCCCCTCCCGTCGTTGCCCCCGAGTGCATCGGGGAGAGTGCACGGCGGCAGGGTGGAGATCCACTAGAGAAGACTGGGCCAGGGCGAAGAGAAATTGGGGCGAGGACACCTCAAGAGTCTCTGAGACCTGGCGGCTCCGGCTGATGTCTCGGGCGCCGCGACCTTCCCAGAACGCTCCGGGACGCTCTCAAAACGCTCTGAACAAAAATGTATTCCGAGACGTTCAAAACGCTCAGAACGTTCCGAGACGCTCTCATAACGTTCCGGGACCTTTGAGAGCGTCCCGGAACGCTCTGAAGAAGATGTATTCCTCGTCCGAGCCCCATCCGACTGGACCAAGCATGCTCTGGGGAAGCGAAGAGAGCTCCGCCCCCGTGCCCTCGAGGCACGAGGTGGAGCGTCCTCGGGTCTCCTGTGGGATCTCGCGGAGCCTCGATGCTCAACCCTGAGGATTACTTGGAGGGCCGCGGACCCCAAACCTGCCGAATCATATCTAGGGCGCGTCGCGTGGCACCCCGTGGCCCGTTGCTGAAGGGGCCCTAGGACACACACACACACACACACACACTTACACACACTTACACACACTTACACACACTTACACACACTTACACACAAATACATACACACAAATGAAAATATTTCTCATACTTTCTTATATTTTCTGGGTCTTTGTGTCTTCCCCACCACTTCCCATATTTTCTGAGAGTCGACGATTAATTGTGTCTGTGTGTTTCCTCCCCTCCTGAGTTGCGTCTTCTCGCATGTCTTTTCCTACGCTCAGAGAGGGGCCCGAGGCGGGCAACGGGGTCCCGCGAGGCCCCCGAGGCAGCTCAAGAGGGCTCCGAGTCGCCGAGAGGTCGCTTCAGAACGCCCAAGACGGTCTCAAGACGGCCCAAGATGCCAGCAAAACGCCCCAAGAGGCCTCCCAAGAGGGCCCCAAAATGCAAACATAATTGATGCTGCGAAGGTTGTTGAGCAATTTTGGCGTTACGGCGTATCGCCTGTTCGGCTTCCCGACGCTCCAAGACGGCTTCAGAGGCCCCCAAGATCGCCCCAAGACCGAAGACAGCCCAAGAGGCCTCCAAGAGGGCCCCAAGATCGCCCCAGAGGGCCCGAAAACATCCGAAAAGACCTCAAAGTCGGCCCACGAGGTCCTCAAGAGGGCTGCAAGAGGGGGCCCAGACGGGGGACCCGAACGGACATTTCGAGCCCTCGGCCCCGAGTGGCCCCCAGGATGCCCCAAGAGGCCCCCGCGAGGCCCAGAAGGGGCTCCAAGAGGCCCCAAAACAGCACCCCAGAGGCCTCAACACTCCCTCCATGGGGGCCCCCGAGAGGCCTCCCACGAGACGCCAACGAAGATCCAAGAGGCCTCGCACCCTCAACCCAGGCACTGTGGAAGGGTGGGCCGAAGAGTATTAGGTACTGATACCGCAACTCCCCAAACATCTCCTGGGGCGCGTTCGGGCAAGCGTTTCGAGGCGGATCCAGCCGTAACGACGAGGGCCTCCCAGCAGTCCTGGACCGGCGAACACGAGGCAAGGCCAGCTGTATCGGTACCTTGTCTCCTCGTAGATTTCGCACAATCGAAACTGTTTGCAAGGATGCGCGATAAGGATACACTCCCCGTGGACGTTCATGTCAAAGCTTTTTCCCAACCATCCTGTGGTGTTGGGTCCTCGTTTTGAAGAGACAGCGCCCCGCGTCCCACCTTCTTTCCTCCTCCTCCCCCTCCTCCCTCCTCCCCCTCCTTGCCTCTGCTATCGGCACACCTCTCACACGTTTCGTAGCCCCGTAGGGAACTCCACCGAAGGCCCCAGCTGCTGCTCTCGCATGCGGTTCACCCACCCTGGGCGAAGGCCCCAGTGGCTGCTCTTGCATGCGTTTCCCCCACCCAGGGCAGCGCCTCGTGGCCCCATAGGGAGCTCCACCGAAGGCCCCAGTGGTTGCTCTCGCATGCGGTCCCCCCGCCCAGGGCAGCTTTTCGTGGCCCCATAGGGAGCTCCACCGAAGGCCCCAGTGGCTGCTCTCGCATGCGGTTCCCCCGCCCAGGGCAGCGTTTCGTGGCCCCACAGGGAGCTCCACCGAAGGCCCCAGTGGCTGCTCTCGCACGCGGTTCCCCCACCCAGGGCAGCGTTTGGTGGCCCCATAGGGAGCTCCACCGAAGGCCCCAGTGGCTGCTCTCGCATGCGGTTCACCCACCCAGGGCAGCGCTTCGTGGCCCCATATGGAGCTCCACCGAAGGCCCCAGTTGCTGCTCTCGCACGCGGTTCCCCCACCCAGGGCTGCGCTTCGTGGCCCCATGGGGGGGCTCCACCGAAGGCCCACGGGGCTGCGCTCGCATGCGGTTCCCCCACTCAAGGCAGCGCCTCGTGGCCCCATGGGGAGTTCCACCGAAGGCCCCAGCTGCTGCTCTCGCGTGCGGTTCCCCCACCCAGGGCAGCGTTTCGTGGCCTCATAGGGAGCTCCACCGAAGGCACCAGTGGCTGCTCTCGCATGCGTTTTCCCCGCCCAGGGCAGCGCTTCGTGGCCCCGCAGGGAGCTCCACCGAAGGCCCCAGTGGCTGCTCTCGCATGCGGTTCCCCCACCCAGGGCAGCGTTTCGTGGCCCCATAGGGAGCTCCACCGAAGGCCCCAGTGGCTGCTCTCGCACGCGGTTCCCCCACCCAGGGCAGCGCTTCGTGGCCCCATAGGGAGCTCCACCGAAGGCCCCAGTGGCTGCTCTCGCATGCGTTTCCCCCACCCAAGGCAGCGCCTCGTGGCCCTATAGGGAGCTCCACCGAAGGCCCCAGTGGCTGCTCTTGCATGCGTTTCCCCCACCCAGGGCAGCGCCTCGTGGCCCCATAGGGAGCTCCACCGAAGGCCCCAGTGGCTGCTCTCGCATGCGGTTCCCCCACCCAGGGCAGCGCTTCGTGGCCCCATGGGGGGCTCCACCGAAGGCCTCAGTGGCTGCTCTCGCATGCGGTCCCCCCGCCCAGGGCAGCGTTTCGTGGCCCTATAGGGAGCTCCACCGAAGGCCCCAGTGGCTGCGCTCGCATGCGGTTCCCCCACTCAGGGCTGCGATTCGTGGGCCCATAGGGAGCTCCACCGAAGGCCCCAGTGGCTGCTCTCGCATGCTGTTCCCCCACCCAGGGCAGCGCTTCGTGGCCCCATAGGGAGCTCCACCGAAGGCCCCAGTGGCTGCTCTCGCATGCGGTTCCCCCACCCAGGGCAGCGTTTCGTGGCCCCATAGGGAGCTCCACCGAAGGCCCCAGTGGCTGCTCTCGCATGCGGTTCCCCCACCCAGGGCAGCGTTTTGTGGCCCCATAGGGAGCTCCACCGAAGGCCCCCGTGGCGCAATTCGCGTGCGGTTCCCCCACCCAGGGCAGCGTTCCGTAGCCCCATAGGTAGCTCCACCGAAGGCCCCAGTGGCGCAATTCGCATGCGGTTCCCCCGCCCAGGGCAGCGCTTCGTGGCCCCATAGGGAGCTCCACCGAAGGCCCGTCCCAGTGGCGCAGTTCGCATGCGGTTCCCCCGCCCAGGGCAGCGTCTCGTGGCCCCACAGGGAGCTCCACCGAAGGCCCGCCCCAGTGGCGCAGTTCGCATGCGGTTCCCCCACTCAAGGCAGCGTTTCGTGGCCCGAAAGGGAGCCCCACCGAAAGCGGCACCCACAACGCGTTACGAACAACTGCTTATGGTTGGGTCCTTCGCCAGGATAACTGAGAGGGGCTGGCCCCATCGAAAAGGGTTAAGGATGCACCGAGGAGGCAAGGCCAGCTGTACCGGTACCTTTTCTCCTCGGAGATTTCGCATAATCGAAACTGATTGCAAGGATGCGCGATAAGGATACAATCCCCTTGGACGCCCATGTCACAGCTTTTTGAGAGGGGCTGGCTCCATCGAAAAGGGTCAAGGATGCACCGAGGAGGCAAGGATGCACGGGTACCCTCGGGAAGGTTACCAGCCCTTACGGTCGCTTTCGACTTGAACCACCCCTCTCCCTACATCTCCACGGCCGTGACGCCTTCGCAACGCGGATCCCCGACGTCTCGGCCCACTCCCCTGGGCTGGCATTTCGTCCCAAGCAGTCTCCTGACGTGCTTACGTCCCCAGGGCCCGGCGAGGGCCCCCGGAGGCTCAACATAAAAAAAACAGTGACAAAAACAATCTTGAACAGGGACCGACCACATATCGGCATTCTTAGTGCTACCACTAAGATTTCCTATACAATCCCCAATAAATGTTCAAAAGAAGCCCGATGCATTCAAACCAAGACGGTCTCAGCCAGAGCCGTTCTAAGCACATGTCGCGCAGACCACAAAAAGGTTCTTAGCCCATTCTTTGGTGGGCCTCTAGGCGAGCCAGGACGCTTCGCCACTGCTTGAAAATCGCTCGTCGTGTTTGTTATCGGGGATCTTCTGACCCGGGTCAATCCAGGCCTGGGTCAGCCAGGGCTTGCAGAATCCTGCAAGATCCTGGAAGACCCTGCACCCAGACCCGGGTCAACGCGAAGGATCCTGCAAGATCCTGCAGGATCCTGCACCCAAACCCCCGCCAATGGGAGCCTGGCCCTGCAGGGTCCTGCAAGATCTGGCGCTCTGGCGGACCCCCGCCTGCACTGGCCCCCGTCTCAATTGCCCCCGATGCTACTCGGCGCGAGGGGGCCCGGGCCGTCCGACCCGAGCGGGCGCGCGGGCGCGCGGGCGGCGGCGGCGCGCCCGGCGGCCGTCGTTCTCGCCCGCCTGGAGCGCGTACATCAGCTTGCCTGGGCGCGATCCCCGGGGTCGACTGCACGCAGGAGTGACCCCAGGCAGAAGAGACCTTTGGTGCGCGGCTTTGGGGGCACTTCCGGGGGGGACAAACCCAGGCGCGCAGGACGCTACTATCGCATCGCATTCGGCGATCGGAGGACCCCATTGGGCCCGCACCAAAGGTCACTCCGGCGAAAGGTCACTCTTTACGTCTAGTCGGCCCAGGACCAAGCGGCGCCGAGTCGGGGCGCCGGCCCAGGCCACAGGCAAGCAGCGCAGGAGCGCCAAGAAGCGAATCGAAAAGCCGGGTCGGCGATCGAAAGGAGTCGGGACGGCGGAAATCGGCGGCCGAGCCCGGAGAAGGCGAATCGGAGGAAATCGACAGGCTACGGACTCGGACTCGGAATCGGGATCCGAAGTCGAATCGAATCGAAATCGGAGGCCATCGAAATCGAATTGAATCGAACCAGGTGGAATCGAAACGAGCCCTGCATCGGCACTGATATGCTGGGGGATGTTTACGCATAGGGGTATCGTCCTGGTACGGGCGCGCAGCAGCCTCTATGAGTCACCCACTATGCAACTGTTCAAAAGATACCTCGCCGATGCACTGATCCGCCGCTGTGCCTCCAGACACGCTGAGGGCGTGTCAGGATGCCCCTGGTCTGTCCGTAACAGGGTCCCCAGAATTCCCCACAGCCCTCCCCCTTGGGGGCCTGCAACCTGCCCTTGAAGCCCCCTGGGGTCCTGCAGAATGGCTTGGAGCTTGGTGCCGGTGGCAACCTCCTGGCCGCCCAAGACGCCCGAATATTACCACTATTGCCGAGATCAGAATCGTCTTCCCTCGGTGGAGGCAACCGCCGATACTGGTGTATGTGCACACCCCTATTGGCTACACGCCAGAGTGACCCTAGGCAAGAGTGATTTTTGGTGCGCGACCCAAGCAAGGGGGCCCTTTGGGGACACCACCAGGCGCGCAAGCCGCTGCTATCGCATCGCATTTTGCGATCGGGGGTACCATTCGGCCCGCAGCAAAAGTCACTCCAGCCAAAGGTCACTCTTACGTGTAGCCGACTCCGAGACTCCGATCCCCTCCCTCAATCGCGTGGCACGGTTGCGACGTGCCGAAGGCGGCCAGATGTAGAGCACGCGCCCTGCAAGCAACGCGGAGAGGTGCTCCGAACGCGGCGCATGAGCACGGCGATGCGCCAACCGCGCCTGCGCGGGGCAGCACAGGCTCAGCCCATCCGCTGCGGCGCGGGCGCTTGTGCCAGCGGCACGCCAACCTTTGTGCAGAGTTTCTCGACCTTCGGGTTCTGCTGCCTTGCCAAGTGGAGGGTCTCGTCCTGGCGCTGGATGTTGCCCGTGTCGCCGCGCAGCCTCATGCGCTCTTCGAGGTCCTTGTTGATATCGTCGACAACCTCCGCCTGGCACCCACATCCAGGGCTGATGAGGCCGAGCGAGGACGAGGTAGACACACAGCAGCCACAGCATCTAGTGACAGTCACGCTCCCAAGCTCGCCGTATGGGCGCCGGCTGGTGTTCTTCGAGCAGCAAGTAGTCGTGATGAGTTGGATCTCTTCTGGCTCCAAATTCAAAAGTTTAGCCCCGATCCCGCAAGTGCTGAGCGTGTGGCAGCAATCGGTCACGTCATAATCCTTGTGATCGAACTTGGGCGCGGTGTGCTCTGACGCGTGTGGCACAGCAGGTATGGCGACACCAAGATGCACAAGCATGGCGTCCACCCTGGCAGTCATGGCCTCCAAAATCTTCAGGGCCTCCTCGGCGCGCAGGATGTTGCCGGTGTTGCCTCGCTCCTTCATGCGCGCCTTCAACTCTTCCACGACATTCGTGACCAGTTCGCCGCTGCAGCCGCAGCCCGGCGATATCGGCACCTTGTTGCCTTTGTCGTCATCCGGGCTCAGGTTGGACCTGAAGCTGGCGCAGCAGCCGCAAGCCTCCAGCTTCTCCACGCTGCCGAGGTCGCCGTAGGGTAGCCGCTTGGTGGAGCCGCCGATGCAGGTCGTGGTCTTCAGCACGGCCTCCTCGGGCTCCAGTGTGAGGATATTCGACCCACAGCAACAGAACTGCGTGCCGCAGTCCGTGACATCAAACTCCTCCGTCCCAAACTGCTGCGCCTGCAGCGGCTCATCCGCCATCGGTGGCAACCAGATGTGAGAGAGCCTGGGACGGCGAGTGTAATCTTGGGCCCAAACAAGATCATGACAAACTCTGGACATTTCGAAGGTGCTCCGGCACGTATTTTCCTGAGGGGGAATCCGCGTCCGGTTCCGCCTCCACTCCGCCAAAATTCCACCCGGAGGCAAGACCGAGCACGCCCTCGTTGTACTTATGCCGGTTTCCGCTGGTCCTTTTTTACCCCTCATCTTCAATCCTGATCTGTGTGATGCTTCCACCTCCCTCCCTCCTTCATGCTTCCTCCTGCCCACCTCCTTCCTCCTCGCCCACTCTCAGACTCTCTCACACTCAGACTCGCTCACGCTCAGACGCACTCAAACCTAGACTCACACGCAGACCCACTCATACCGAGACAAGATCGAGCTCAGACTCACATTGAGACCAGTCGTCCGCTGACTCACTTGCACGCAAACTCACTCACACTCGGACTCCCTCGCAATCCGAACACAGAGCTCAGTCAGACTCATACCTCAATCTCACACACAGACCCTCACGCAAACATGCTCGCAACCAAGCTTGCACATTTGTTTGCGGAGGTGCAGTCTTTTTTTGTTGCGGGGGTCCTATACTCACCGCGACGTGGTAAACGTGGCACTATGGGGCACCCCAGGGAGGAGCAGGCAGGGAGGGGGACACTTGCCCGCTTGCGCCCAGATCGGGATGCCTCCGGCAGCTGGCGGCAGGTTCGTGCCGTGTCGACCCCAGAGATGCTTCCTGACACCGCGGGGATCGCTCAACCTTGAACGATCGGCCGCTTCCAAAACGTCAAACCGCTCAACACCGACCGATTCTGGTTCGCCGGCGGCGTTCAATCTGGAACGCCGCCGGCGGGGCCGTCGCCTGTCGACACGACGCGACCCTACCGTACCTCTTTTGGGGCACCCCAGGGAGGGAGCGAGCGAGCGAGCGAGTGGCGCAGCAGCAGTCGGATCGATAGCTGAGGCCAGCGAATGGGGATCGCGGGAGGGTGGGCAGAGATGCCAACCCTCCTGCTAGAACAGGGCGACGGTGAGGGCGCCACGCCGCGTCCGTGGCGAGCACCTCCCGAGGGTACAGTGCTGGCCACGCTGTACGCCAGGGAGGGGGGGAAGCCTGCCCGTTCGCGCCATACGTGCGGGCATGTCTTCAGCGGTTGGCTTGTCTGCTGGCCCAGACCGCCTGATCCCGGGGCTTTGCCCTCTCTTGGCCTTGACGTGAGGCCCCTCCTTCTGGTTTTCCTCCCTCTGTCAATGAAAACTGTGAGCGGCCCGCCTAGCTTCGACCAGAAGAGGCTCGCTCTTGACCCGCGGATCAAAAAAAGTCTGCTGGCCCAGGCTCATGTCTTTTGGGGGCCCCATGATCGTCACGATATAGACCAAGCGTGGCATTTGGGCACCCCGTGGAGGAACCGCCGGTACGGGAAATGCTTGACGGGTCGCGCCCGGCTGGTTGGGATCGTCGAGCGGTGTTCTCCATGTTTGGTGGCCAACGCTCCTCTGTGATAGACCCATCATCACCGCGATATGGCAGTCGTAGCATCTGGGCACGCCAGGGGAGGAGCCGCCACCGAGGGGAACACTTGCCCGTTCGCGCCCAAACTGTGGGGATGCCTCACGTGGAAAAATATGTGCAGATGTACATGCATGGAGGTAACCTTCATAAGTATGTACATTCATGTATATCGATATCGAAACAAACAAGTGTGTGTACATACATATATACACATATCTATGTGTACATATGTGAAAGTGCGGGCATCCCGCCCCCCTGGACAAAACAACAACGACACCATAACGGAGCGCACGGGAGCGTCGTGTGAGAGGAGAGAGGAGGGATATGATGAGGAATAAGGGGAGGAGCAGAGGGAGACGATTGAACAGAGGGAGACGACACTAAAAGGCCATCTTCCTCCTTCTTTCCCATTCTGCCTTCCTCCTTCACTCTCTTCCGGTATCATCTTCCAGTTCTTCCTCTTCCTCTAGACGCGGGGTGGAACACTGAACACACAAATGGTAACCACACAATCACAAAATAATAACAAACACAGATTGAGAAAACAGTGGAACCATAAGGAGCAACATCAAACAAACAAAAACATTGAGACTTACTCATTCGACCGTTCTACTGCTCCACCGTCCCATCTCTCCTCGTTCGAATCCCTTTCCCCCCCCCCCGCCCCCCGCCTCTTCCTCCTCCTCACGCCTCAGTCTTCTTCCTCGGGAAGGGGGAGGTGGGAGGAGGGCGCAGGAGGGAGGATTGAAGGCGAAGAGGGGGAGGGCGGGGAGGGGGGGATGAGGAGGAAGAGGATGACGGGGAGGAGGAGTGGGGAGGGGAGCGAAAGGTGAGGAACGATGAGGTGGACTGAGGAGTCCGTCCGCCGTGCGCCGTCCGCCCTCCTCCTACGGCCTCCTCCTCCCGCTCACTCCTCATCACTCCTCCGCCTCCTCCTCCTCCTCCTCCTCCTCCTCCTCCTCATCATCATCATCATCATCACTCCTCCTCCTCACTCCTCCTCCTCATCCTCCTCATCACTCCTCCTCCTCCTCCTCCTTTTCCTCCTCCTCCTCCTCCTCCTCCTCCTCCTCCTCCTCACTCATCACTCCTTCTCCTCCTCCTCCTCCTCCTCCTCCTTTTCCTCCTCTTCCTCCTCCTCCTCCTCCTCCACTCCCCATCTCCTCCCTGTCGCACCCAGAGGCCGGTCGAAAGGGCGGACTGGGCGTTTCCCCTGAGACTTCCGCACCACTCGTGACCCCGCAGGGCAAACACTGGCAGCGGTTCCACGGATGCAGGGCGGGCCGTTGCGGAGGGCGGGCCCCCCCTGCCCCGGGGCGCAGGAACGGGCCCCCGGGGCCGAGCATCCCAAGCACCTCCTGGCCTGGCAGAACAACTACATCGTCGGATCGGGGTCTCGGCCATCCAACTTCCAGGAGCGATCACGATCGAATCGAGCTTCCCATGAGGCCCACAAACTACCCCCAAGAGGCCCCCAAAAGCGCTCGTCGTCGTCGTCAGCGTCGTCGCCATTCAGGGTGGGCGGCACCGGCCGTAAGGCCGTCGCAATGCATCGTCGGATCGGGGTCTCGGCCATCCAACTTCCAAGAGCGCTCACGATCGGATCGATGACATTGGAACGGGCGCCAGGTCCGCCTGCTGCGGCACGAGGTCGGAACCGAACCGACCTCGCCACAGCGACACGCAAGCGTCGGGCCACCCCGGAGCGTCGCAACCTCGGAGTCGAACCGCATCGGGTCAGCCGAAATCGATACCGAATCAGACAGGTCGGATCGAAATGGGCCGAGGAGTCATGGCGGTGCCGCGATCGGATCGACGTTTTATGGTGCGAGTGAACATTTAATCGGAAAGCACATGTGATGGGTTTGCAGAAATTGCAGGCGGGATAGTGCCGCGATCGTATCGAAATGGGCCCTGGACCCATGGCGGTGCCAGAGGCCGCAAGCGTCCAGAGGCGGGCCAGCACGGTACAAATGACGCTGCGGCCGGATCCGCGGGAGGGGGAGGGGAGAGAGGGGGAGGACGACGACGTCCCGAATGAAAACCTAGCGAAAACGACGATGGACGTTCTATGGTGCGAGTGAACATTTAATCGGAAAGCACATGTGATGGGTTTGCAGAAATTGCAGGCGGGATAGCGCCCGAATGTTAATCTAGGGCTCTCGCCGGGGAGCCTAACTTCAAGGTTGGCGAGAGCTCGGAAGCTTGAAAGCGTCGGAGTTACAAGCGAAACCCCGTTACTCCCTGCTCCTCCACCTCTTCCTCCATTTCGTTTTGAACTATCCTTTTTCATATCCCGCGCATCTCCCCTTATCCCTCCCTCCTTCCCTCCCTGCGCCTCCTGTTCGGGCATCCGAAAAAATACTCGCATAACCAAAGAAGATATTCGAATGAACGAACATCCGCGCGGATTTTCCTGCACGGTGTCTATTTCTCCCCCGCTCCACAGCTATCCTCCTCCCCGCCACAGTCCACGCGCCCCCCGTCCACCCCGTCGTCCATTTCTGCCTCCAATGCTTCCTTCCTCCTTCTACTTCCCGCTTGCTCCCTCCCCCTTCTCCGATTTCTCCCCCTGTGCCGCCCCTCCCGCCTCCAATGCGTCGCGCCTCTCCCTCTCCCCCGCTCTCTCCGCCCACGCGCCTCCCTCGCTGGGCGCCCGGGGGGAACCTGCACAAAAACATTGAAACAACCGTACTGCCCCCTTTCGAGCAGGACAGAATTCCGCGCGCAGTGTCCTGCCCGCTCCCCTGCTGGGGGCAACACGCCGCCCTCGTCGGTATGCCCGCCTTCCGCGATCACGCAAGACTCATCGCGCGAGGTGAGTTTCGCAATGTCGCTGCAACACGCGGGACCTCCGGCGCCCCCGCGCGCCCGCCAAACCACCCGCCCACGTCAAAAAGATGCCGCGTCGAAGGCTTCTGCATCGGTCAGTGGGAACGGGCCTGGCACTGGCCCGCGGCACTTTCGAGCGGCGTCCAGCCGCGGCGACGAGTGGTTCCCCGAATGCGATAAACAAATTCTCGTTTGCTGATTTAGAACGGGCGCGCCCCCGTAAACGCAAGCACGGGCGAGCTGCAATCCGCTAGTAAACCTGCGTCGCCGTCACCCCTAATCCCAACATTGCCCCATCCCAAATTTCACGCACGCAAGCCTGGAAAACATCCACATGTCATACTCATGCGCTTTTCCAAGGGTCAACTCTGCAAACCCCACGACAGGGTTGGCTTGACCCACTCAAACCTAGAAACCAGACGCCCTGAGAGTTTGGAGGTCCGACATGTTTGGACCATGGGAGCTTGATATCTTCGGCGCAAAAGGGGAGAATCAATGTCTGCAAGTTTAGTCGCATAGAAGCGCTGAAGAGACGACATACTTAAATGATTTCAATCGGCATGCTGTCACACACGGCGGCTCGTATGATCCCCGAAAAGTCACATCGGGAAGGGGGGGTGGAGGAGAAGGGAAAATATGAAAAAAATAATGAATTCCCAACCGGATTCCGAATGAATATGCTGCCGGATTCTG